CAAAGAATCTTTAATCACAAATCCTGTCTCGTTACTCTTGGAGGAATATTTGGCTTTAGAAGGCATTTTAAAGCTTTACTTACTTTAGGTTAGAGAGCCAAGTTTATTACGGCCTTCCATTCGTTCCGAATCCTCTATACGCTTACTATACATTCGCTTTTTTTCTTTTAATATCATATGGCTCGAAACACTACATCCTCTGCCGTTGCTGACATAGGTTCTCCGTGAGAAGATTTCTGTCGATGCTTTCGAATAGTTTTGCAATGTGGTTACGTTCGTTCATAACTGCGCATAATGCCTCAAACGTCTATAAATGTAGATTTTGACGTAAAAAAGAAACAAGGCGTAGACACAATCCCGAAAGTGGCTCGGCAGACTCGGATGCGATTGGAAGCAATTGGAGAAACTGTACAAGAATGCGCCGTGCAATGGTACAAGAGATATTTGCTAGAAATAATATTACGACAGAAGCCTCTAAGCCCTTCAAAAGATGGGCGACACGTCCCGCTGCAAGTCGAACAAGAACAAGTTTTAATCGATGAACGACGCGGTCAACCGTACATATCGAATGCGATTCGAACTTCGAGATATACATTAATCGATTTTATACCGAAACAGTTGATATTTCAGTTCACACGGCTAGCGAATTTCTATTTCCTCTGCGTTGGAATTCCCCAGGCGATTCCGGGCCTGAGTACGACAGGAAGTTACACAACTATTCTACCTTTACTATTCTTTGTTCTCCTCACGATCGTTAAAGAGGGCTACGATGATTATAAGCGCCATCGGTTAGATAATCTAGAGAATGCGAATTCTACAAGGGTTCTAAGGCGGAAATCTCTAAGCGTAGATGTCGTTTCGCCAATTCAAAAATGGTTGACAGGTATATTTAAAAGTAAAAGCGCAGATATAAATAATTGGGACGACGGGGACGAGACCGATAGAGACTACGGGTGGAAACAAGTTGAGTGGCAGGATGTCAAAGTTGGTGATGTCGTCAAGCTAGTTCGCGATGAAGCTGTGCCAGCCGACCTAGTTCTTTTATACGCTACAGGAGAGAATGGACTGGCTTACATCGATACTATGGATTTGGACGGCGAAACCAATCTTAAGAGTAGGGAATCGCTTCCGGATTTCAAAAATTGCCAGACTATTTCTGGTATTCGCAGCTGTTTGGCCGAATTCGTCCTCGAGGACCCGAATCCTGATTTATATCGTTTCGATGGGCGTGTCACAATACGCGGCCGAACACTCCCTTTAACGTCTAATGAAGTCATATATCGAGGTAGTACGCTCAGAAATACTACCTGCGCCATTGGGATAGCGATTAACACTGGAGAGGAGTGTAAAATTCGCATGAATGCGAATCAACATCCTCGTGCCAAGAAGCCAGCACTAGAAGCTATTGCTAACAAGATTGTCATCACTCTCGCCTTCTACGTTATTATTCTGACGGTAGGGTGCTCTATGGGCTATATCATCTGGCGCAGGTCTACCGAGCGAGCTTCTTGGTATATCTCCATGGCCACAGTCGAGTTCAAGCAAATCATTATTGGCTATGCGATCATGTTCAACAATGTCATCCCCCTCGCGCTCTACGTCACTCTCGAGATAACGAGGATTGGCCAGATGCTTATGTTAAATAACGACGTGGAAATGTATGATGAGGTAACTGATACTCCGGCTCGGTGTAATACTAATACTATTTTGGAGAATCTTGGCCAAGTTAGTTATATATTCTCTGACAAGACAGGCACGCTCACGGAAAATGTCATGAAGTTTCGCAAAATGAGTATTGCAGGGACCTCTTGGTTACACGAAGCAGATATTCAGTCTGAAGAAGATACAGTGGCGACAGGTCTTGGTCTTACCGTTGATGGAGGAGTTGCGATGCCGCGCAAGTCCAGAGAGGTTGCTAGTGTGATTCACGAAGATATCGAGCTTTACCCCCTATCTCCAGCAGCATCAAGTGTTACACCTCGATCAGAAAGGAGGTCGTCGTCGCAGTGGAGGTCAAGTGCTCGCCCAGATCATATGCAACCCAATGTTACAACCTCGGATTTGCTGGAGTATATCAGATCAAGGCCGACATCGCCTTTTGCGAGACGAGCCAAGGATTACATACTATGCATGGCTCTATGTCATACATGCTTACCCGAGGTCAAAGATGGGGTAGTCGACTTTCAAGCTTCGTCTCCGGACGAACTGGCGCTTGTCCGTGCTGCACACGAACTTGGATACTTGGTTGCCCACCGGTCCTCTCAGGCTGTGACCTTACAAATTGACAATGGAGATGGTAACCAGACGACAGAGGTTTATCAGATTTTAGATGTCATCGAGTTCAGTAGCAAGCGGAAACGCATGTCGATTATTGTACGCTTTCCCGATGGGAGAATTTGTCTCATTTGCAAGGGTGCCGATTCAATAATTATGCCTAGACTTAAATTGGCTCATTTAGCGATGCAAAAGGCAACAGAAGTTCGTAAAAGCGTTGAGGTAGAACGTGAATTACTTCGAAGGAGCGAGCAGTTAGATGTGGGAAATAGCTTCGGGGGGCGTCCAAGCGTAACTTTACGACGGAACATCACAGGTGGTCGAAATAGCATTACCGTTGCACAGCCCACTACACCAGTCAATATCCCGACGATTGTACGGAGCAGGTCCGTTGAAGGATCCAAAACGCGACACTCCGAAGACAGACTTCGCCCGTCTTTAGGCATACGAACCACGTCTCTCGACGTGACCAAGACGCTATCAAGACTAAGCCCATCAACCCCCAAGCCACCACCCGATAAATTTGGGTTTCTTGATGATCCTTCCATACATGATGAATCAATAGTCTTCAGTCGATGCTTTAAACACTTGGATGACTTTGCTTCTGAGGGTCTACGTACTCTCCTGTTTACGCGGAAATTCATACCTGAAAGTGAGTATGAGACATGGAAAAAGGTTTATAATGAAGCAACGACAAGTTTAGTAGATCGTCAGGAAATGATCGAAACGGCGGGTGAGTTGATCGAGCAGTCGCTCGACCTTGTGGGGGCGACAGCAATTGAGGATAAACTCCAAGTTGGCGTGCCGGAAACCATCGACAAGCTCCGTCGTGCTAATATCAAGATCTGGATGTTGACAGGGGATAAGCGCGAAACAGCAATTAACATTGCTCATTCGGCACGAATCTGTCGACCGGGGTCTGATATATTCATTCTTGATTCCTCGAAGGGCTCGTTGGAGACGCGGATCAATGATATATCTGAGGAAATTGCAATTGGCTGCACTCATAGCGTAGTCGTTGTTGACGGCCAGACTCTAGCAGTTATTGAGCAGTCGATGCGACTTACAGATCTCTTCTACACTCTTATCCCTTTAATCGACTCCGTCATCTGCTGTCGTGCGTCACCTGCTCAGAAATCTCTGATTGTGAAAGCCATTCGGCAGCGAGTGCCAAGTGCTCTAACACTCGCTATTGGTGATGGCGCAAATGACTTGGCCATGATTTCTTCCTCTCATGTCGGAGTCGGAATCTCTGGTAAGGAAGGACTACAGGCTGCTCGTGTAGCTGACTACGCCATTGCACAATTCCGCTTTCTTCAGCGCCTACTCCTTGTTCACGGACGTTGGAATTATGTCCGCACGGCGAAGTTTATCCTCACAACTTTTTGGAAAGAGATGTTCTTCTATCTACCAACAGCGATGTACCAGCGTTACAATGGATACAGTGGAACTAGTCTTTATGAGAACTGGAGCTTAACTATATTCAACGCGCTGTTTACGAGTCTATGCGTTTTATGTTTGGGTATTTGGGAGCAGGACCTCAGCGCAGAGACGCTGCTTGCTGTACCTGAACTATACGTACACGGACAGAGGAATAAGGAGTTAAATATCCCTAGGTTCGTACGTTGGATGGCTGCCGCAGCTGTAGAAGGTATTCTAGTGTGGCTTGGGGCATGGGCCGCCTATAGCGTCTACGGACAGGCCCGCGACGATGCACTTTTTGCTTTTGGCGACTTAGTATTTACGATTGGAGTAATATGGATTAACTGGAAAATCTTGTAAGTCTATATACATCTGCGCGCTGTGGTATCCTACTGACAAGACTCGTAGTATTCTCGAGACGCATTATAAGTCGGCAGTTGTTATGGGTGCTTTTGGTATTACTCTTGCTGGGTGGTGGGCTTGGCAGGCATTCCTCTCAGGGGTCTATGCAGCGCAACCAAGCCCTTATCCAGCCAGGCACGGATTTGAAGACACTTTTGGCCAAGACCCCCTTTGGTGGCTGACACTTATAGTCGTGCTGTTTGTACTCATCTCGATAGAGCTGGTTTACAAGACAGTGAAACGCAACATGATAATTACAGGTACCTGGCAATGGCCGCCATGGAAACAAAGAAACCCCGACGACAGCTTGGAGGAATGGGGTTTGGAGATTTGGCAAGAATTGGAAAAGGACCCGGTTATGCGCGAGCGGTTGCGAAAGGCATGCATGGAAGAGGGCGAAGTCGAAAACGGGGAACAGGATAGCATTGACCCGGACGACATAATTAAGATTATTTGAAGGAAAAGCATCTATCGGCGTTTCACGGACCTACACATTTATTTACACGCACATATATACCTAGCCTATCTGCTAACGGTGGTTTAGATGACAGGTTTCTTTTGGATTTTTCTAAGGCATCTAAGGGGTTAAACAGGTGAATATACCCAGCGTGCCGTTTCCACCGATATATAGATAGATCCATCCTTATTCTTATATGTATATAAACTATTAATTCATATGTATAATTCATTTCAAATTCTGTCTTCGAAGTTCTCATGTGCAATATGTGTATATTGGTAATTTATTTTGATACAAAGCGTACAGTAAATAAGGGGGGAGTTTGTACTAACTAGCTACAACGAGACAGTCCATCCGCAATACTTAGCAAAAAATCCTCTCCACCACCGGTGATATTCTTCACGTCCATCTTACACCCCGCCATCTCATCTTACATTCAGCGCATCTAGCTACTTGGCTCAACCGTAGTGTTGCTCACATGCTTCATCTCCAGACCCTTCAACCCCTCAAGGCCCGTCAACATCGGAATAACCTTCGCAAACTCAGGGTGGTCGCGCGCCTTCATATGCGCCTCAACACTCGTCCACCCCAGGATCAAAACTAGCGTACTACTCGGCACACCATCACGGTCAATATCCCGCTCGACCGACCACCCCAGCGCCGTCTCACCCGTCAACCCCTCCGCAAACAGCGTCATCCGCCGCGTAAATTCAATTACCGCGTCCATGGTGCGCTTGCGCGCGTCCTCGGGGTAGTCCCCCGCAAACCAGATATGCAGGACCTCGGCGACCGGGGTCTTGCTGCTGGGCCCCGTGTTGTCGAGCGCGGCGACCGGGAACGGCGCAAACTCGACGTGGTACGGGCGCTGGGGCGGCGATGCGACGGACTCGTATACGCGGGCTTTGAACGGCGCGTACGCTTCCGTCTTCTCGAAGGCGCGGTGCGCGGCGACGGTCTCCCAGTCGGCGAAGATGCGCACGGCGTTGACGTCTTCGTGCAGACGGGACGTGCGCACGCGCAGACACCCCGGTTGCGCGACTAGGGTCGCGGCGGTTGTGTCGAGAATGGAGACGGCTTCGGCGGCGGGAAGGTCCGGCTTTAGGTCTAGGGAGATGAATTCTGTGACGGGAGCCATAGCTGCGTTTATTTTTTTATATTTGTGTTAGATCGATCAATATATGTATGTATGTCTTATTTCGATACTGTAGTGAATGTCTTAGAAAAAGTAAATGTTTGAGTGAATAGGTTATGCGGGTGGCTTTCATAAGATGAGGATCAAGTGAGGGGTTATATATATGTATAAGCCCGGAACTCCGGGCGATCGCAGATTAAGTCGATGAGTCGTTTCATGAAATAGGTAAATTAGGTAGATTTAAAGCTTGTAATGGGTTAAGTTAATCCGTAGGATTCATTATTTCTATTAAATACTAAATACATCAATCACTGCATTCGTGAGAAATCCAATGATTACTAATTGTTCCAAGGCGTAACTGCATATAGGTAGTATAGCTCTAAGGTATCCACGGATAGGAGTTACTGATAATGTCCTTATATTATGTAATTTCAAATTAACCAGCTCCATGGAGAACTAAATACTTGAATTCATTACATACCTTATTTACATATGAATACTAATTATATGGGTCGAACAATCTACTTTCTCGCTTTAGTCCTTACTACCTATCCTCGTACTCTCCGCCTCTTAGAGCTCGTCTAACCAATCCAACAAGGGGTTCAGGTAATCAGTAGTCAACACAGGACCAGGCCCGACCCCGTTCTCCTTAACCAACGGATAAAAGTCCAAGAAATCCTGCATAAATTCCATATAATACATGAGAACGTACTTGAGTCGGGGTAATACATGGTGTTTCTCGGCGATTAGGAACCGGACGAGTTGGTAATCCCGCGGCCGGAGTGTCAGCTCTAGAGTATAGCCCGGCGGTGGGTATCCGGGGAAAACGATGCCCCGTTCATTCATGACTCTGATGGAACGGGGCACGATATTCTCGAGGAGGAGCATCTTCAAATTAGGGGGGAATCTCGTCGGGATGAGCTCCGGCAATGCAGAATCATCCATATACGCGCTACCAAGAAGATAGATAGGGGGTATTCGAAGGAAATGCAGGTTTTTGAACCGAGTCAAATCCATGCCTTGGTCCTCGAAAGGGAGTTTCCATCGCCAAGTAAAGTCTAGTATTCGCAAGCTCTCCTGAGCCGGGGCTAATAAGCTAGGATAGAGCTTCTCCGAGAATGGTAATTGATCATTATGGCTGATTAAAAGATTCTGTAGTCTGGTTGTGGAAGATAAAAGTCGATTCAACGCTTCGTGGTCATACCAACATAATTCGATGAATAGCCCCTTTAAATCGGCATGCTGGAAATAGTCCACATCTAGCTTACCAAATGCGGAGAAGTCGATATAAGAAAACCGCATACGCCGCAGTTTTCTATGCCGAAACAACACAGCGTCATCTTCCTCAAGTTTGAAAGCTGCCCAATTCTCCTGCTCAATCGAGAAAGTCACTATTATCTTTTATTAGCATCCATTTCCTCGCATTTAACCACCAGCAAAGCTTACAACTCTTCAAATTAGGCTGCTCCTTAACAAGCTGGTTTAAGGAACGCCTCTTATCATCCTCGATACTCAAGGGCTCTCCACCGTGCTGCACAATGATGCTTTCTAGATTTGGGAACTTGATGCCCATGAGCCGCCGGTACGCAACCGGGTGGAACTCGTCGAGGACGAGAAACCGCACCGCGCCGGCAATATAAGGCCGCTTAAGCAGAAACTCAACCAACCCACCGGTATCATGATCCGTTCCGGCCTTGGTGAACACTCTACGGTAAAGCAACGGCTCTGCAATCCCCTGTGCTCTTCGACACGTCTGCGAGACCGAGGCCTGATCACGAACGCTAAGATATCGCAATATCCACCACTGGATCTCCAAGGGGAGACCGAGGAAGTAAGCATGACCACGCGTTGAAGACATGGTAGAAACTCTAAATAAAACGTATCAATCGTCAAGAGTATAACTATACGAACCATCCACCTTGAATAGAACTTATCCGTAGTTTAAAAGTAGGACGCCCGGGTTCCCTCCCCCCGCAGACCTGAGTAAGTGCACACATCCGACTATGCAGCAAGCGGGGCGAGGACCATAAGCTCCGGCGCGGACGGTATTTACCTAGCCGGAACCGTAAAGGGGGGGGGGCACATTGCATAATCCCCTTCGGGACCTACCGAAAACCGCCGTACTAAAAAAAAAAAACCAACGATCTGCTTCAAAAAAAAACATCGGATGATAACGCCTTTTTAAATCCCCAAACGTCCAACAACAGACAGCATGTGATGTAATATCATCACCCTATACAAAAACCCGCCGTAGCCCGGCTACCTACCACACACAAGGGCAGACAAGAAAAAAAAAAGGGGGTTCCGGTATGATGATTGCATTCTGCAACGCACGAGCTTCAATGACGTCATGACCGATGGTAGACCGCGGCAACGCTATAAATAGAGAGACTAGGGCTAGACGCTTCTACAAAATTCCGGAATCCGGAAGAGTCCCGACGTGATAGGTAGAATCTATGCGACTAGTAAGAAGCGCAAAGTTGAAGACACCATCAAGTACGGCACGTCGTCTAATTACTACTATTCAAAGTTAGATCATACGCCCGTCGCTTTGAACAACGACGATAGTATGAATTCGCAAAGCATCGCTTTTGGAATATTTACTACGAGGTACATATGTTCGATACACTAGCCGCTTTGTATTATTCAAACAACTTTTTCGCTTATTCTCTAGCCTAGGCGCCAGTTCAGACTTCGTCTATAGCCTCTAGCTATCGCATTCGGCGGCTGGCTTCGCGGTTCTCGGCTTCTTTTTGCGTTTGCTACTCCCGGTGCCGGATCCCGTCGGCGCCTCGCGTATCCACCTCGCGACCGCCTCTGCACGTTCTGTTAGGATAGGATACTCCCTTCCGTCATCTACGGCCCAACGCTTAGGGCCGGCATGCGGACTAGGAACGCCACCGTTGGTGGAACTTGCGTGATCAGCTTCGGCTCTTCGCTGTCGGGCAAGAATCGCCGCTTTGAAGCTCGCCTCGTCGTTGACACGCTCGTCTTCTAGAGCTTCGATGATCGCTTGCTGCCGCATCCGCTCCTTCCGCTGTTCCTCAGTTTCGGCGGGGGGTGTGCCTCCGGTGATAGATAGGGCGTTGACGCTTGCGGTCGCGGTAGATACCCCGTTTGTCGACACAGGGATTGGCAGCGGGGCCGGGGCGCAAAGAGCCTCCCAACTTGATGAGAGTTCGATCCAGTTCTCCGCTCTTCGGAGGACCTCAATCCAATCCGCTCGGGCGGGAGACCTACTTGCTTGGAAAACTGGATACCCATCGGCAAGACGAGCAAGCCGCGCGACCATGTGCGCATGGCGCTGAAGCTCTTTTGCCGAGGTTTGGATAAGGGTATGACATAATAGTAGCGAATGTAGCGCGTCAGTCAGTAAGGGGTGGTAAGTGACTACCTCAGTAGTTGTCTGAATCGACTCCATAGTAGCACTGCTTGGAGATACGAGGTCTGTCGAGGGATACGGCGGCAGGTCTGCGGGAGGTGTGGCCGAGAAAAGGGAGGATAGCTCGTATATCGTATGGCTAGGTGAGGTTCCCGTAGGGCTACTCGGGTCCTGAGATGCATGGCGAGACTGGCTGTAGTACCTTTTGCTACGATGAGTTGCCTGATTTACCTGGCGACTAAAGTCATCCGACACTTCGATAGGTAGGTTAGGCGAATAGTGAAAATGCTTGAGATACTCCATATAATCTCGTAACGCGCGCTTCGCATAAACACGTACCACCTTGCGCACTTCTAACAACTTCTTAAACGGACCCTTGTTCTCTAGATCCTCTTCCGCTTGTGGTGGCGCTGAATCACCATTAGTAGTGCCATTGCTGGCCCCGTTCGTACCGTTTTGTGAATTCGCATTTTGCTCAATAGGCGAATCAGGGAGCGCAAGCGCAACGTTGTCGCAAGCTAGAGTGAGGTAGCAGCCAGCCCGCTGAAATAAAAGCTGTACTTCTATACTACTTGGTTGGTCTCTTTCATCGAGAGGGGGGTTATCTCGCCGCCGCCGAGTTTTCTGTTCGAGTTGCAGAGACTCGTCTGATGCTGGTTTGTGCCGCGGTTGTTGAAGACGGTATACGCCCAACGCAGAGGTAAGATCACGAACGGCACCTTCGAAATCATCCTTGAACATTCGGACGATGGCACGAGTCCTCAGGGGCTCGCAATCAGAGGACCGTTGTCCTATTATAAGATCCAGCGCGCGAAAATCTGTACATTCAGCCAGCTGCCTCGACGGAATCTTTTCGTGGAAGAAATGAACGTAGTTAGCATCAGGGTCATCGGGTGCTCTTAGTAAAACAAGACTGGCGACATTTTCCAGAGTCGAAGTAGATTGCATCGTCGCCACGCTTGATGCTATCTCATCCAAATGATAGGCGCGCGATAACTTCTGGGTAGCTTGCTCTCGCATTCGGAATTTCCGCTCTGGACTAAGTTTTGCGCCGGCATTATTCCCAAACCCAAGTCCTAAGGCTTGCATATGATGCGCAGCTCCTCCCGCTAGCGAATTAGATAATGTCGAGGATGCGACTCCATTTGCAGCTCGTACAGCTAGATCCGTAGCACCGTCTACAAGCTGTCTTATCTTCACCAGGTCGTAAAATACTGCTGGGTCGACAGGGCGCGGTAACGGCATGTAGTAGTTCGCATTAGCCAAGGTCTCGAGGACTTCGAGCGGTAGCTGCAACCATGGTCCATGGAATGAGGATATGTAACGCCAGTGTCTGTGGTAGCGAATTATAAGCTACCAATATATATACACACACTTATAGTCATTAAGGTACAACTCACTTATTCCGGCAAATTACAAGCGCAGATGAGGAAGACGAGGACGACTGAGGCGCAGGAGAAGTTGGCTTCTTTTTATTCGCTGTCGAAGGCGCTGTTGAGGACTCTGCAGTAGCTTGTGCCTCTATAGTAGGAGATTCGCCCGCTGTGGGCTTCTTGTTCTTTTTACCCATTGCGCATTGGTGGTAGACTTGTTTAGGTACTCCCAATAGAAATGTAGACGTAGTATATGAGGTGTGATTGATACTTGAATCGCTGCAGTATTTACAGAAGAGGACTAGATAGTACTGGAAAGGCGGGCGAATTACGACGATAATATATACCGTCGCAAATAGGAAAGTCGCAAATAGCAAAGTCTCGGCAACTTACAGCTATTTGCTTCTGAAGTTGAATTAGCTACGAAAGCAGAACAGAAAAGCTCAATTGCGTCGGCGATTCGGCGTGGCGCGTCTATTTTCTTATCTAAAAGCTAATAAAGCCTATTACATGTCTTTATCGCCACGTGATGACCGCTTTATTCCCTTTTTTTGATGTTTTTTTAAGAGTTGTATAACATAGAAGTTACCTAGGTATATTAATCAACCATAGACGTAAATAATATAGCAAGGATAAAGAGCTCAGCATTCTTCATTTTTCAAAATCTTCTCATACTCTCCCTACCAATCAACTAAAATGACGATCAGAGGCATAAGCTATGGTGCCCACTGTTAATAGGATGAATATCTATCTAGAACCTCCGATCGGCCTCACATATGCAAGGCAGGTATACATATATCTGTAGAGAAAACCATCCTCAAAAAGGCAAGAGATATCCAAACTCCCCTAAAAAACCTAAGATCGATGCACAAAGTGCGTGTAAGTTGAAAACATGTTGTACCATAATTTTATAATGTTAGTTTCCTTTAATCTCTCTTTTCCACGCCTTCTTTACTTCTTCTAGGAGACCATCCTGCGTTAAGACGTCTACAGCAGTACCTGCAAGCGCCTTACCTACACGCAGACATCGCTCAAATGCAACCCTTGTTCCGGCCGCCTTGGCAAATTCCGGATTATGAGGACCGTTCCCTCCCGGTCCCGGTGGAATCGCAAACCCTGCACTCAAGCTAGGCATAGCGTAACTTATATCGCCTTGGTCCGTACTAGCCATTGTTCGGCCTTCAGCCTCATCCACGCTGTCGTTCCCCGGAATAGGCTGCGGAGGCGAAAGTGCATTAAAATACTTTCGATAGGAAGCACCTAGCACCCGGTTGGGGACGTGGTCGGCGTAAGATTGCACATGAGTCATCTGAAGCCTGGCACCTGTTGCTGTCGCTCCAGCTTCAAAGCAAGCATCAACTTTCTTCTTCAGTTCCTCCACCCTCCCTTGCGTGTTTGCGCGGGTTACGAAATTACCGGCCGTATATGCATGGATCACATTCGGCCGTACCCCACCATCTGTAATATTCCCCTGGATGACATCACCAGGCATTGTTTGCTGACGGAGTACGGATAATGCATTGTAAGATGTGATCAACGCGTCAAGAGCGTTGATGCCAAGCCAGGGACTAGCTGCTGCGTCTAAGATACTTAAATCAACATTACCCTTTCTAAGTGTATAGGAAGACTGTTCGAATCAACTTACGAGCCTCGCGGCCGAAATATTCGACCTTGAATGCGGTATACGCAGATGTCCGCATTAGGGCAGTGTCCTTGGTAATACCAGGATGAGATATCAAGTTGATATCGACCTTGTAATCTCGATAAGCCCCGGCTTCCAACAGCTTGATCTTGCCACCACCTCCTATGAAAGATCAGAATATATCTTTTATACGAAGTGATATTTCTTTACCTTCTTCCGCGGGAGTTCCGAACACGACAACTTTCCCACTCAATTGATGTTTCTCTATCATTTTAGCTGTCGCTAATCCACCTGCTACAGATGCGGTAGCAATGAGGTTGTGACCACACGCATGTCCAATGCCATCCAACGCGTCTACACACTCAGTTAGACATCTTCGCATCACTAATTCATTCGACTTGACACACCCATTTCAACGTTGAAGGATACAACTGGACCCTTCCTCCCGCTATCAAATACAGCAACCCAAGCTGTAGCTAAACCATAGGCAGATGGCGTCACCTTCCATCCTGGCCTACTGGCCATGAATTTTGTCAGTGTTTCATGAGCAATGAATTCTTCATAGCCAAGCTCTGGGTTATCATGTATCTTCTTGTTGACTGGCCACAAGTCATCTGCAATGCTGTCGATGAATTCACTAATATCGCTGAGATAACCCGGCTCAGACTGAGCGAATTCGGCGTCCTCATGGGTAATGAAGACAAAATCGTCGAATTGTTGTTCCATCTTGTTAGAGAATTCCTTATAAGCCTGGTCGTCGCTGCTAGTGAGAATATACACGCATAAGAAATATGATGGATAGGGTATAGCGGGTAATCATCTGTGAGCACAGGTCAAAGTTATTAAATAGATGAATCGGTGAACCTTGAGGTCTCCAGACTTGAAGTTCTAATTAGCCTATCCTACTATCCGCTAACTTCCAGGTTGATGCATTTAATGTAACGATCAAGGTTCAGCAGGGTGGGGCTAGGACATGATCTTAGGGATGATCTTGACGATTTGAAATGTTTTTATTTGGTGAACAACTTTTGACAATAATACTTTAGGTACCTTTTGAGAATACATTAAGTAGTCACGTACCTCCGACATGGTCCCAGAGACTATTTTAATAAAGAAAAAGGAAAGTTACACATATAAACCCATAACTATATTTACTTACTTACTCATGATACAATATTACTAATATTACTATCTCGAATAGTTGAAAATAAAGATATATCGCTTATACTCGATTAAGTCAAAAGCTAATCATTATTAGAAATAAAAGAGCCATCCCCGAAATCGGGTTAAAAGGTTAACATCTTTTAGAAAAACTAATATCATATAAATTTAACATGATCTTCATGACTATTTAAAAAATGAGGCTATTTTCATTAAATGTTATCACAAAAATTCGAGATAATTTATATGCAATATCATCCCAGTGACAATCTTGGGATACTACATAACGTGCTACATAATGTACCCCGCACGTAATCCGTAGCTACCCCACTTATGCAGCCTACCTAAGGTATGTGCCCGAGTTTACGAGGAACATTATATTATCTAACTACAATAACCTCGATTAGAAGTTCGTTCATATGCAATTTTAAGCATTTTGATTTACAAATATCTACTTTTATTAAATTTTACAAAAGCTTAGGTTCGAATCCCACACGTTTTCTTCTTTTCTTCTTTTTTCTTAGGAACAGTTAATGTTTAAAGTTTTTTGCCGGGTGGAAGAGGGGGAGGATTGGATGGGGCCCGGTTGACATAGGGGATAGGCTAGTTGGGGAGGATGGTTAGGTACGCATGCTGCCACGTTATTCACGATACTTACCTATCATAACACCCATAACCTATAACTAGTATTTACTATAAACCTGTACATGCAATGAAATACAAGATAACAATTTAAATTAGGCAGTCACTGCTTTTAGTGGTTATTATCAATCAACCAATAATTTACTGTGATAACCAAGTTTTGGCTTAAGGTATTAGCATGTTTTTATCTTACCCGAGATAAATAGATATAAAACCATAAAGGCCTTGCCTTGTTTAACTTCCCGTCACTTACTTTTTTTCGCACCAAAAGTTTCGACATTAAGTCTTTCACACACTAGGCTCCTCTTCTTTACAGATAAGTGCCTTAGGTACTTTACTCGCTGCAATTTACTTGAGAATATTTCAAACATGGATGTAAGCTAAATCCTAGTTGATGTTATATTCTAAAATCAGAACTATGTTGGTTGAGCGTGACTAACACTCGTCTTAGGACCCTGGGTGCCTTGTGGGGATGCATGTCAATTATTGCGGTGCGTTGTGGACTATTACAGCTGCATTTGGTGGGGGTGTCGTTCATGAAATCTGGCTCATAATTACGAATAAGATGGGAGACAAGAGATATGTCAATGCTGGGGACGTAATAGCTATTTAGGACAACCCAGTGAATACTGAAAGTTAATACCCGGCTAGAGTTTGATTTGCGTTGTGTAGTTATCACGAGGTGGAATCAAACAGCATGAAAACAACTTTGTTGTTCCGCAAGGAACTCGAATCTAACTACGAGGGTCTACGTCTATACATACCTCTGAGCATGTCCTTTGTTCTAAATGTCTCAACAAGAATCCTGACGGTAGTTCTAATGCAGTGAATAGCGGTTGGGAGATATATATGAAATCATCATATTCAATATCGAGGCTGGCATGTAGTAGGGATGAAGTAAATCCCCATATAATCTTTGTGATGACTTCGGGTGGTTGTATTATTTGATATTACGGCTCCTTGCTTCTGTTCAGGTTAGACTGTTTGATCAGTCCAGATCATTGCATCTTGTTGCGGACCATGAGCGTCAATCTTTGAAACACAAGCTACCGGCAAGATTCGTGACGGGTGTGATGTTGTACCTATTGTCTAAGTTACTGGAGGGAAGATCTAGAATTTAGGCATAGTTACACGGAATATACTAGCTGCGTTGCCCGTTTGCGCGAGTGCGTACGGGGGGAGGGCAAAACTTACGCCACAAATAAATCTGGCCTTTAATTAACTAACCATACACCAGCGCACGTCTAATAAATTTTTTATAAAATTAATTAAATTATTTCATTTTTAAATAAAAAGTTTAATAATTAATATTATTAAATAAAACGCGTTTTATATAATATTTTTTATAAATTTTATATAATAAAATAATAAAAAAAATCGTAAATTATAAAGCGATTTTAAATATTTAATTACTCGAAAAAACTGTGGCAATATTAATAAAATATATAAAAGTTAATATGATTATATAAGTTAAGTAGTTAAGCTACCTGTTATAGCTACGTAATATTACATAATCCTATTACAGCCTTTTGGCTCTAGCCAGCCACAGTTACAACCGCCACCGCCACAAGACTAGCCATAAGGCCTCTTGAACAGGTGGTAGTAGCTAACCGGGAAGCCGCCCAAAGTTAAAGTCTACGAAACGCGGCAGCAAACCCGCTTACAAAACAGGCAAAAACGCAACGCGCAAAACACTGGGCTTTTACCTGAGGAGTAATGCGTTGAAGAAAAAAAAGAAAAAAGTACAAAGTAAAAAAATTGAACCGTAAGCCTAGCGGTTGGTAAGGTGGTCATGGGTGTAGCTGTGAGGTAGCTATATATAAGTGTTGCTTGCTAGTCGCCTGCTACTTCCTATCTAGGTAGATCAAATTATTAACTTGGAAGTCGCGAAGCAATCATGTACGGGATGATACGAAGATACTTTCCCTTACTTATCTCCTAATTTTTTTTCTTTTTGTATCGGAGTTGTCCGATGAATACCTACCTTGCCTACCTAATGTACTTAGGGAATGGCCTACTTTAAGTCAGTATGAAAAGACTAAGTTTCTTTTCTTCGTAAACTTGATAAGGGTACTGCAGGACATTGCAGACGGTCGATCTGCTGGAAACACTTCTGCAGTTGGAATCGGAATTTGAGGGCTACACATACCACAACAAAATAAGCCGATTGCAATCAAAATGGCTTCAGAAAAGCCAACAGATCAACAGACTGTTACCACTTCTGGTATTCGCGATGCAGAAGCGGTACAACTAGATATCAAAGATGAGGCTGGATACTTGGCTGCAAGAGCGTTGACGAGCGATGCCGTGGACGAGGAAACCTCTCGAAAAGTTCGACGAAAGATTGACGTTCGCATCTTACCTTTCCTATGCGTTACCTACGCTTTGATGTTCATCGACAAGACCTCCTTAGGCTACTCTTCGGTGTATGGTATCATACCCGATAATAAGCTTCAAGGCCAGGATTACTCTTGGGCCAGTTCTATCTTCTATTTCGGTAGGCCTTTACGGGTGTCTATGCAAGTAACGGATGCTAATAATAATAGGATATCTTATCGCCGAATACCCTGGCATCGCAATCATTCAGAGGTTCCCAGTAGCCAAGTTTCTCGGAGTTAACATAGTACTGTGGGGTGCTATTCTCATGACAACAGCAGCATGTTCTTCCTTCGCCGGCCTTGCTACTGTGCGGTTCTTCTTGGGGATGGTTGAGGCGACGGTCTCACCCGGCTTCGTGGCCGTCACCGCAATGTGGTGGACCAGACAAGAACAAGCAGGTCGATCGGCCCTCTGGATCTCTTTCCTTGGAGTTGGCAATTTAGTCGGAACACTCCTAGCCTATGGCATCGGTCATATCCAAGGCTCTCTGTCTACTTGGTATGAGATTTCACCTACTTCCGTATATCTTAAGAGAATTTCCACCCAGACAGCATCTCTACTCTTATATCAAACTAGTATTGATCCTAGTGTAGTCGTCGATGCTAACTCTATCCTAGGAAGTACATCTATCTTATTCTAGGAAGCCTTACCACCATTTGGGGTATAGTCTTCACGCTTTTTGTACCTGATAGTCCAGCAAGTGTCCAATGGCTGGACGAGGACGAAAAGGTCATCGCCATTCAACGAGTAATCGAAAACAAGACTGGTACCAAATCTCGCCGTCTTGTCGGCGACCAGGTCATAGAGGCGATTACTGACCCTAAAGTGGTTATCCTAGGTTTGATATCATTCGTCAATGCCATTGCATCTGGTGGGCTAAGCTTCGGCTCCTTGATTATCTCCGGCTTAGGATTTGATCCACTACAAACCACCCTGTTGAACCTACCCGGTTCTGCAGTCCAACTTGTAGCACAACTCGGCTCTGGAGCCCTCACTTCTTACATCGGTGGTTTTCGTCTACAAATCGCATCTCTAGCTATGATCCCGCCGGTATGTGCAATTCTATATTATGACGACAGGATATTAACTAATCATGTATAAGATCATAGGGACTGTCTTGATCAACCAACTCCAGCCAACGAACAAATGGGGACGTCTTGTAGGAGCTTGGTTACTAGTAAGTACCGCGACATTTAGCTTACGAGTATTGAAATGCGCAGTTACGTGCCCGATCCAAATTTGGATTTATACCTACCTAGGTCTTCTCGTCCATTCATTTCTAATTTGTAAAAAATAGGGCTCTTATCCCGTGGGGTTTATGGTAATTCTTGGCCTACTCGCAACCAATATTGCAGGTAGCACTAAGAGATCTGTAGCCTCAGGCTGGGTATTCGTCTGCTACTGCATTGGTCAAATCGCCGGGCCACAGTTCTTTGTGAGCAAGGAAGCCCCAGCCTACCGTGGTGGTATTGTAGCCATGCTCTGTGGCTTCATTCTCAATCTGGTCCTGAATCAAGTTCTGCGTTTACTTTACATACTCGAAAACAAGAAGCGAGATAAAATGCTAGAGGGCAAATCAGAGGATGAGCTTGATGCGATGGAAAAGGAGAGTAATCTACAGGGTTTCGAAGACGTCTCTGACAAGAACAACGTAAGTCCCCCCCCCCTAATCCCAAGCAAAACAATCAGAAATCTAATATCAAGCAGGCCATGTTTCGTTACGCGCTATAGCCAATCACCTGGTTGCCGAACCTGGATTGCATAGAGACAATCTGTGTTAACCTACTCTAGTACTAAAACTAAAGTATGTAGCTGTTGCATTTCTCTTCGACTACGTGTAATTAATTCGAATCAAATGTTTGCGTCTTTATTCGTCTCTCTCTACTACACAGAGGCGCTAGTTTTCTCCTCTATGTTGTGTGCATCCGTAATGGCGAGCATCTGTCCACCCTTCTCTACGTGATTCTGACCGCCGAACAACGCGTCGATTTCCTCTAATGGAACTTTCATCGTCTCGGGGATGCAGAACCATACGAAGACATCCAAGACGAAGTTAGTTGCCATGAAGAAGAATAAACATTTTAAACCCTCCCTAGCAAGGAAGATAGGAAAGAATTGTTGGAAGATGGTGTTGGCAACATTCTGCATTTGGGAGCACATTCCAACCGCCTGTGCCCTAACGTTCATACTAAACACCTCTGAAGTCCATATCCATGTCGTTGCTCCCCACGAGGGCTTGTAGAAGAATATGAAAAGGAATAGGAGGAAGACGATAGCTATGCCAACAGGTTGCGCCTTTGTAACTGCGCCTTTGACTCCGACCACGTCGGGTGTCGTCATACCGATAATAGGAACGATTAACATGCAAATTCCCATTCCGATCGCACCCACGATGAATAGCCATCGCCGGCCAAATCTATCCGCGGTCCAGACGGCATTGAGGGTAAATAGTATACCACATGTTGCATTTAGGGCGTTAATCAAGTTTATCGTTTGCGTCGAAGGCCAGATCGTCTTGTATATGGCGCTCGAGTACGAGTTAAGTGTTCCCTGGCCAGAAAGCTGCTGTCCAACATTCAAGATGAAGGCAAGGTAAAGCCTCTTGCGTACGGACGGGTCCTTGAAGAGAGCCATATACGAGCTGCTCATAGCCTCATTTTCAAACCCAATAGCCTCCCGTATGCTCAAGACTTCGAATTCGACATCCTGTTCCGTGTCCCGGATCTTACGCAGCGCCTTCTTAGCCTCCTCGACGTTGTTATGGCGCTTGATCCACCAGCGCGGGGACTCGGGTTGGAAGGGCAGGAGCACGATGATGATGATTGGCACCAGCATCTGGAAGATGACAACCATGCGCCAGTCCCAGTGGCCGAGCTTCTCTTGGTTCGCGTTGCATGTGTATGCAATCCAGTACGCGATGAAAGACCCCACGCTGTAGAACATCTGCCAAAACGTCATGATCTGCCCGCGGATCTCCGGGGGCGAGACCTCGCCGATATAGATGGGGCCGGCGGCTGGTTGGATGTTAGTTTGAGGTGATGGTGCGAATATGTATGTGTATGTGTATGTTTGGGTAGGTTTTTACGTACTGAGAGCCATGCCCTGTCCGATACCGATGAGTACGCGGCCGCCGATGAAGCACCCGAGATTATGCCACGGAGCGAAGGCTTGCATGAATGTGGCTGCGATGGTCAATAGGCAGCCTATACCCATACCAATTCGTCGACCGAAATAGTCCGCCTAGATACTTGTTAGTGTTGAGGCGTATGCGAGTTAAGTTATATGTCAATGCATGAAGAAACCTACAGTTGGGCCACCAAAGAACCAACCCGCAACGATAGCGCCAATAGTATAGGCCGTATTAATCAGCCCTATCAGGTTCGCATCTCTCTTCTTTAAGCCGGACGTATTAGCTTAGCTTAGCTTCAGACGTCGTGGAATAAGACAGACAGTCTATCGTATAGGGACCCTTACAGTATCGAGGTCGAACCACTCAAGCCAGTTGTCGGAGCCCTGCGCCGCGTTGAAGACTGAGGCGTCGTAGCCGTAGAGGACCATGCACATGGCCGCCACGAGGGCGATGTACCTACTTAGTCTTAGATATATTATTCCTTCTTGGTTGGTTATGAACTCAGAGAGAAACTCACCAGTTGTAGAGCCTCTTTGAACTCACCATCTTGGCACTGGTGCTAGTAAAGGGAGAGTTGGCAAATAGCAAAAGGTATATTTAGTAGAGCAATTAATCATTATATATAACGACCTCCTAGGTATATATATACATATATACGAGCCCAACAGTCGAGGTCCGATCAGCTGAGAACAGCTAACCCACCGGATTCACCTACACAAACCAGGGTCTTTCTCTCACCTATAGGCTCGTCTCCTCTTTTCCGTCGGCGATACTCGACAGGATAGATTCGCTAAACAGCACCTCGCCTATATATTCAGCTGAACCCAGTGGGGAGAGAGAGGAGACATCGCCCCAAAGCGACGGGATCACACGTCGCATCCACCAATCGTAGATCTATCCGCGACTAATGCTTCATTCATTCTCTTATACATATATATCTCTCTAGTAGTGAGCTTCCCAGGTAGTTGGGCTAGGGTAACAGCTACTACCCCAGACCCCGTGGCCGGGATGGCAGGGCAGGGTAGTATGGGGGAACCCATCTCCAATGCTGAAATTCCACCACTCACAGTTTTTCCGTGTGCGGCGGCCGCAACCCTGTTATCACTAGCTTCCTGCGGTAAAGGCTTGATTGAGATTGGCATTGTTTCTCGGTTCACGCTGTAGGTAGGAGGTGGGGATCTAGTATTCCATATACTCGGATTAGATCGAAGTTCTATAATAGCCAGACTTGTCATTGTGTTAGAATTTATAGCACAGAGTATAAAAGAATATATTGATTTTACATGGACAGGAAGTTGATAGACATTTTAATCATCCAGTATGACATGACCAATACCAATAGCGACGAGCAATGCTGAAAACATAAAGAAAACGCAGATTGCCTAGCATTCATTCACCCATTCCATCATCTGTCCGCACAGTTATATCTAAACGCCAAAAAAAAAAAAGCAATGGTATCTACCGGCGAATATTTCCCACATATACGAAGTATACCTTCCCATAATGGCATAAAAGCTTGAAGGCAATCCTCCCAACCCAGAAACAAATAACAATGCAAGAAACAAGAAAGAAACTCCGGTCTAACCCTGCATAGCTTATGACTGCCCACCCCAGTTGAAACCCTGATTCCCGTTGCCCATGATGTTTGGATACGTCATTCCCATGCTCAAGTACGTGTCTATATCTGTCATTCCCTCATTCTCCAAAACATCCATGAGCTCTATTTGTTGCTGTTGACTTAAGCTGCCTTGCCGCTCCGGCGGGAGCCCGTTGGAAAATGGCATATTGCCCATGTTAATATCGCCAAGGCCGTTTGCGCTGGAATCGTTCCAGAAATTACCACCTAATCCGTTGCCGAAGGCGTATGGTGAGATGAACGGCGGCGGGGGATTAAACCAATCCGTAACTGTAGTTGGCTGAGGCAGAGGCCGTTGGCCTTGTAATTGGTGTTGTGGTAAAGGAGGAATAGTAAAAGCTGGCGGGGCCGTACGCGATTGTGGGGGAGGCACTGTATTAGGCGTCGCGATATCAGAGGGGGTCTGAGCTAAACTCGAAGTCGAAAGCATGGGTGTAACAGGAAGTGGTGTTCCCATAGTTGAAGTAGCAGTGCTTGTAGACACTGAATCCGGAGAAGGAGGGATATGCTGTGCGGGAGATGAGAATGGTGGTGACACTGTCGCATCGGTATCTGGTGGACTGTGCTCTTCCATAAGCGTCAAGTCTCCCTGAGTGAAGTCAGGTGGGAAGTAACTGAAACGACGTCCGGTATGGTCACTAGAGGCCGGGTTTAGGAAGATCGAATTTGATCTAAACGTGGGGTGTATGATGTAGTTGTTCTCAGCCCCATAATTGTTCATCTCTTCTGGGCCGGAGCCAAAAACGTAGCCAAATTGTGGTGGGTTGAAAGGAGAAACACCAGTATTGGATACTGTCGTCCCACTTGAAATATCAGATGCAGAAGGTGAGTTTGTATCTGTTTGAGATGGTGGGGTATTAAAAGCACTTGAGTTCGACTGTGTTGGCGTTTCATTCGAATCGTAACTTTGAAGGCATGCTTTCGTAAAAGTAGAGTATAATTGAGATGCTGCTGCGGTCCCCGGCCATCTTTCAACGCATTGGTCAATTATATCTAGTGATATATTGACTAGTTCCTGTACTTCGTCCCGAGTGTGCAACACTCGCACTTCCGGGTAGGTAACAGCCCATAAAATAGTGTTAAGAGACATGTAAAGGGTCAATATAAACACCCATGTGATATCGACAGCTGCCGCCATCATCTGTTTACTGGAAATTTGAATAACAAATGCAGCCGAATCGAAGCACTTCGTGGCCGAGCGCACGGATGGCTTCGGCACTTGAGGAGATGGTCGATGAAGTGTCATCATCATAACATGAAATCGCCCTGAAAACCTATAATTGTTTTAATGAGACTACTATAACTCGATTTGGATGCTGGAATCAAATACGTACCAAGGCTTGCACCATGCTGGATTTTCGGGAGATTCCTTAAGCCACTGGTCCATCTTGGCCTCCATTCCCCCAAACCACGGATGGCGGGCGTCCTTAGGCTCCAGGTACTTCTTTTCATACAAGATCCGTCGGATTTCAGACTGGAGCTGTCGCATCTTGCAGAAGTGTATAGCAACTAGTTTCTTCTCATCCGGGGGCCCAGGGATGATTCCGTCTTCACGAATGTTTGCGTCGCTTACGGTCTCGAAGAACCTAACATCATTTATGTCATCACTTTTAGCAAACCCATTCGGACGGCCCATAACATGGGCCATGCCGAGTTCTAGGTTGCTAACAATCCAGCTCAGTCGTCGCCGCATGTCCAGAGTCAGCGGGTCACTAACGCCTAGGGAAATGGTCTTCTCGTCAGCTAGGCCTAGTTGCTGACAGATTCTCGTTGCTAAGCCGATTACGTAGTAAACAGCAGTTCGAGTAGGTGTCAGCATTGAGTATTGACCGATCAAGACGAGGCATTGAAGAGTCTTGAGATCCTTAGGCCGGACGACATCTTCAAAGTATTTCATCGCAGCCTGATAATAGCTATCAGCAAGTCCTGCATATGTCGTGTCTAATTTCTGCATGCTCGTCGCCATGACTAATCGCACGACAAAGTTTTGGTACGGGTCTGTGCTCCCGGCGTAAACATCTTCAACCGTCCTCTCCAGTACCTTCTCATGAAGAGTTGGAGTAAATACTTGAGCTAGAGTGGGCAGTTAGCCTAGGCCTTCTCCGCTACCTAAGGGGCACGAGTGAATAACTCACCCCGTTGATGAAAAACCTCTACCAATCTATCAGCGATGCCTCTGCTCGGAAGGTTTTGCGCCGGAACGGCACTGATGATGGGATAGCTTTTCTTTCTTGCCGACATTGAGGGCGGTATAGTGAAGGATTGCGACCGTGTCCCCGAAAAACTCGTGCCGGGCGCCGCGGTTTGGCGGCGGTCCCGTAAATCTGGTATCAGCTCTGATATACGTTTTGAGTCGGTGTATCGTTTAGCCTCTTCCATGAGTATACGCGTCATGGCAATACCACTAGAGGGCCCGAGATACCGCGGGGTCTCATCAGTTTCATTTAAGCGGACTAAACCACCTGGCCGAATGAAATCTTCATGGTTTTTAGGGAAATCGTCATCGTCGGTATACTGGCCGAGTTCGGCCTCAAGCTGTCTAACTTTCTCTTGGAGTTTGACAACATAATACCGACTAATCCTCTTTCCCTTTGTCGTATCAAAATATTCGCAGGCTGAGCCGGATCGCTCGCACGGCAAACAACGAGGCAGCGTGGGGTCACAGCGTGTTTTCCTCTAAGAAACGGCCAAGTCAACTTAAATAGTCTCGAAAGAGAGGGAATCCCAAATCTCTTTCACCGGAGCATGGACGAGACAGATACTCACTTGGCGACACCGACAGCAAGCTGTTAGCGTATGCGCAATACGGTGCGAGGCTTCGCCGTCGCCGTTCTCCTCGGTCTTGATAGGCTTCTTTTGTTGCCATTGTTGCGGTGGTCTCGGAGTATGGGACGTAAACCCTTGAACCTGACGAAAGACATTTGAGGCATCCATGAGCGACTCTGGTATAGATTCGTGTTGTTTCTGGTCACTCTTGTTGTGGGATAGAGCCTTGGGCTTTTTGATCTGGCCCCCAGGCACGTGGGGGAGATCAATCGTTGGTCGCACGCAACTTCGAGGACTTGAAGCGTCGGGAATGAAAGCGGGGCGAGCAAATTGAACAAAGCGATTATATTGATGCTGTTGCTGCTGTTGTTGCTGCTGCTGCTGCAGTTCAAGTTTTACTTTATCATGATTTCGATTTTTAGAGACGCCGCCGCAGAATGCTTCGTAAATGTGGCTGTAGAAGGGAGAGTCGTCGCCGTTGAGCTTGTAATATCCGCTCTCAGTTTGAGAACACATTCTTACGTACCCGTACCTATTAATTCGTACGAAATGCCTTGTACATATACATGTATATCTCGTATCTACCTAGCATCAACTACCTATATATTAGCTTGATTGATACGCTAACGATAATGTACTGTCAGATTGATAATACCTGATAAGAGAGTACCTAGCCGCTACTTTGTAGCTACAAGCCTAAAGAGAGGGGAGCGACCGTAAAACGCGGAGTATATATAATGGAGCACCGATTGGCCCCGCGATTATAGAAGGTTCGTATAGGTTCGTATAGTACGTCAACGTGGTAGGTTAGGTATGTAGGTATACGATTGAATAGCAACTTCCATAGATCAATTTCGCGGGAATCAAACTCTACATAACAAGGTTATTAGTCTCCATGATTTAGTAAACCTTAACTACCTAGGTATTAACTACCTAGTTAGTTACCTTAGGTAAGTTAAGTTGATCCAATCTTTAGTTTTGAGTCGTCCGAATCACCCGACTCCTAAAGTTTCTCCTGTCATCCGTTTCGTTTCACCTTTCTATTCCTTTATCCGCTTCACATCGGACTGGGTCAATATGTAGATGGTCGATGGAGGGTCGATTAACGCTACCGCCGGATACAATTCCGTTTCGTTCATTCGTGCATGTCATCTCGCTTTACAATATAAACTTAGTTTTTATGAGATCCCGGCCGCTACGACTTTAACTTACACGCGTGCGGCAAAAGTGCCTAGGATTTCTTCCTGGTACAGCTGCAAGAATCCGTTTCTATTCTTGGATACCCTTCCTCTACTTTTACTAGGCACATTTCCTAATCGAGTTTATCCTGGAACAGTAGCATCGGTTTTAAGGGAGTCAATAACGTGCTGACCGACGATTATTGATGCAACCGGACTTCTCTAATTTTTTTTTCTTACACCCGCCCGACCAACGGTTTGGTACTACCTATTCATGCATTTATGAGACGGCCGCGCCATAATCAAGAAAATATCTGTATTATTATGCAGGCTGCCATGGCACCTCGCGAGGCAATCATGTCACTCGTCTGCAAAGCATACCTCTAATAGATGTACCACCAACAAGATTCAGAAAGAACCTAGCCTTACCGCATGTCTTCTTGCACACGCGAGAGAGGGGCGTTAGGAACTCGGGTGTTCTGATACTGACTATCGGTCCCTGGACGAGGCGCAAGAGGACGAAAGGAGCAGACATGATCTCATTCTCGGGCGGTTTCCCGCATGGTCTCTACTAGAATGCCTCGTGGTTATAAGGCTAATACAAATTGTTGAGGGGCGAGCTGGGTTGAAATTCCTTCCCCTTATGCAGGGAGCTCCCGCTACGACGGCAACCCATGTAGTTTGGCACTCGATACATGAGCAAGCCATATAATTTGTGCAAAGCATATGTACTCGTCGTCCGGCATCGACATGACCCCAGCTCCACGGGAAAGCGGATGTTTTACGACAGAAATAGCAAAAGTTCAAACAAATATCTTTCGGCTCCTTTGATGAACCAAAGAAAGAAAGGAACCCCGCGAATCGTTGACGATTAGATCCTAAGCCGCACCAAGCTTCCAGGAGGAGCCGCCAAACCATGGGTTATGCAATGATCCATCATTCTTAAATTGTAAATCGGCGGAAACCCCCACAGTTTGTGGTACACATACCACCACACTCTCTCCCAATTTTCTGTGGTAGTAGTGACGGTCTAGCCCATCTTCGGAACACTGCACACCTTGCTTGTATGTACAGGTTGCTCCTGGTACAGGCTCCTTGTACAGAGGGTTCCAAGTTAGTTGTTTCTTCTTTAGACGTATTACTAACGCCACTAAAAAGCAATAAGCCTCCTCTCTCGACTCGTCACTTGAGCCCCAAGGCTCTAAAGGCGGTATATCCACGTGCAAGCTTAGAATCTTTCATTCTTACTACCCGCCACTATTACTTTTAATAATCATAACCTCTTTCCCAAACAGCAATAACTCTTCTTCAGCGGGATAAGAAGTTAAATTTAACGACCCTTACGCTGCATGTCGCCTACTGCCAATAATACCGTACATATATTAATTAACCTAAAACCGCTAATCTACCCACGTAGCTATCACGACTGTGGAAACGATCTCCACTTGAATTGGCGCTATCTCATACTATTAAAAACCCCGAAGACCCTGGACGTCAGGGACCACAACCGGGAAGCTATACACGCCTAAGCTCTCGCTTGAAGACGGGCAGTATGCCGCGATCAAGTTTCTCGGATAACCCGTTATTACGGGTGTCACGGCCAGTGTCAGCCTGCTCTAGATGTCAGTACTATCGCATAAAACCTATGAATAATTAAAGAATGTCAAGACTAAGATATCAATAATAGGTCGAAGTGCTAAAGTCAAGGTAGTCCAGTTGTCGTTCAGTATATTAATCCCGGTGCTGATTACGATATTGCCAGTGCGATGGAAAATTGCCGGCATGTACTGCCTGTGAGAAGGCTGGCCGGGAGAAAGAGTGCTCGGCCGCCAACGATCAATTCGCTAGGGGTAAGGAACGGAGGTAAGAGATCTTAATTCAGCCTTACGTATAGGTACCCTTATCACTCTACTGACACGGCTTGCTTAGTTACGTCGCTGCGCTCGAACTTCGCATAGAGAAGCTAGAAAAGCGACTTGCGTACGCTCGATCAAGAAAGGCGTCCGTCGCTCAGCATGAGTCTGAGGTATCACCAGCACAGCCGGAGCCTGACCGGAAAGATTCGCTTGCTCTTATCAAAGCGGCTATATACCGTAAAGCTGCTAGGAAACGAGAGATGTCAGATGTCAATTCGTTGATGTCTGACTTTGGCTTCTTGTAAGTCGCTTGCTGCCAAGCATTAGGCTACACCGGTGATGTATTAATAATGAATGGCAAGGTCGATTAATGCTACGACGAGAGACTTCGAACCCACGATGAGCAACATGACATTTGCGCGACTCGTATTAGCTGCCGCTTCTAACGACCCGCTTCCAAACGTCGTGGACTTAACTTTGCCTCCTAAGCAAGACGCCGTTGCTCTTGTTCAATATTACATGACAAATATTTATTCCTTGTTTCCTGCATTCCCCGAAACAACACTTTACACCATCCTTGAGCAAATGTACTCGTTTCAGGAGCGAGCAATCAAAGATGTTGACTATTGGCTCGTATATATGGTACTAGCTGTTGGGTCTACCGCCCAGAGTCGAGCGAAGAACGATAATTACTATCGTAATGGACTACGGTTTGTGGCTCAGGCCTTGCAGCACGCAGACAGAGCGTTGATGCCAGGCTACACGACACAGATACAATCTTTGATTCTTCTTACTCAATATTCTATGCTAGATCCAGCTCATTTCGATAGCTGGCATTTGATTGGCTTCACCTCCAGAGCAGTAATCGACCTAGGATTTCACCAGGACCCCCCGCCGGAACAGCTCTCGGACAAAGCGGTGTTAGATATGAGGCGGAAGACCTTCTACTGCGTTTATTCATTAGATAGGTATGTAATTTTACCCCTGCTCATGGTATAAGAGATGCTAACTCTTTGAGTAAGATCTATCAGCATGGTTCATGCACGCGCCTTCTCCTTCACTGACGCATCAACAAATGTTGGCTGGCCTCGGCCTTCATCATTCAGCCGCCGAGCATCGATCACTGGCAAAATCCTTTCCGGTTCTGAGCCTGCATTCCTACTCTTCCAACTACGACGAGCTCAATCACATTGGTACCAGGCACTTTTCCAAGCGGAGCCTACTCCATTACATAATTCATCCTCATTCATTTGGCAGATGTGCCAAGATATGAGAGAATGGGCCGAGACACTCCCTACTACCCTGCCAACTGGCATGAGGGAGCTATTCGACCTTGAGCTGCGATACAGTTTCGTCTATTGCATAGCGCCGTCGGCTAGAGCACCTCACATAACTGATTATGGCCGGCTACTCATTTTCGAGCATGCCCTTGCGTACCTAGATCGCATATATGATATATCACATCGCGAGATGAAAACTGCCTTTTATACATACCACGACGCCTTGCGCGTTTTCTTCATGGCAAGCCAGTTCGTCGCCGTGCTTCGCGACGCGGAAGACCTGCTCCTCGCAGGCGTCACTCCGCCAATGCCCTTCATCGAGGTCGGCAAACCGCAGCCACCCCCTCTACCGCCGCGCCCCGGTGGCCCTGGCGTAGATAATGTAGAGAGAAGCTTAACGTGCTTAGAAAAAACTACGCGGACGCTCGGGAAGTACGGCGAGCGCTGGGAGACGTCTGTGGCCCTGAAGCAGAGCTTCGAGATGATATCGGGCGAATTGGTAGACCGCCTGCGCGTAAGAAAGCATATAAAGCAACGCGCGACACCGCCCCAGAACGTATCGGTGCCAATGGGTAGGGAGATGAAGTGGGTGGGTGTTGATGTTGAGGCTCTGATGAGGGGGAGTTCGGGAGGGTCGAGGGGAGCTAAGTTTGAGTAGTTCAAAAGAACCGCCTTTTACTTGAAACATAAACGACTTCGACGGCATAGAGATCTTATTAGTATACCGAGGCATGTTTGCATGGAAGGGCGTTGAGACGGTCCGTAATTAGCATGGTGTCTGGCTTCGGGCATTCTATTATAGGAACGGGTGGGAAGAGAATATTCGGTATTAGGCATTTATGATTTATAGTACGGTTTACAATTTAAGTCTTCTTCTCATTCATCTACATTATAACCTGGCGTAGAACTTGGTTTTGGCAAAGGTATCTTAGATAAGCTGTTATTATAAGCAAAGTCACCATGTTTATAATAAATGTTGATACACATTGCTTCAAAATAAAAAGATGCTTTAACCTAGTAGAAGTTAAAGTAAACGAAGTTGAATTAGTGAAATACAATTGATAGACCGCGAAAAGCTTCGTCTCTCGTCTACGGGTCTATGTGAGTACATACATGGCATGTGAAGGAGAGGTCATCTAAGATCGTGCTATCATCTTTACTGTCGAGCTCCAGTTCGGTCATCGCCCTGCCCAGATATTTATCGTGAAACAACTGCCGCAGCTTTCTCATGGTTGGTTCCTCAGGCCGCCAGCCCCTAGTATTCTGGAAGATGAACCTTGAGTTTTGTAAATACGGTTCTAGGCTCGTTATCCAATTGTGTAGTATGGGGTTAGTGTTAGTATCAGGTGCCTGAAAGATGACTGACCAAGGGTCATCATGCATAGCAAATTTCTCTGCGGTCCGGTTCACGCGGAAATGGATAGCAGCTTGCTCTAGAACAGGCATACATCCGAGCGCCTTGGCCCAAGCCGCGAACAAGGGCTGCATCGTGTCTTCGCAGGGTATGTTCCGCCTGTTTGGTAAATCAGGTTCGCTCTGGAAGTACCAGTCTCCGGTCGGTGTCGTCATTCCTAGGGTGGCATGGAATTCTCTTAGGTGAGGCCAGGATGAGACAGCTATCCCTGGCTGCTCGTTTTCGCTCGGCCAGAAAAGTGAGCTGTCGAAGACGCCGCTTATTTTGAGGGAGACGAGATTATGCGACCACATACGCATAGCTGCTCCGAGGGGGTCGTATGATAGCGAGTTCGTGATGTTAGGGGCGACCCATGAAGGCTGTAATTCAAACATAATTGGGTCATGCTGCTCTAGTGATAGAGACACTTCTCGGCACCCAGTGTTAGGGAGGAAGTTAGCATTAACTAGAGCATTGGCTAAGCTATGCCGATCCTCCAAATGTACCTCTTCCATCTTCCTATTGTTTATGCACTCTTCCTCATCTTCCGCCATAATATTGATGCGCCTTAGACATGGCAACCGTTTGATGAGGTTGACGGCGGTGCGCAGCGCTACTCGTCCCGCCGAGGTGTCTATGCAAAACTCTAGGTTCGACACACACTTCACTATAGGGAAGTTTTCGCCATTGCCGATTAACACAAGTCGTGAGCGGAGGTACTTAGGCCTCTTGTTGCCTCGGTCGTCGCGTATACTCTCGATATAACCCAGCTGCAAAGTCATTCCCGTCTTATCATCGTCCTCTGCTAGAATGCAAAAGAGCTGCCGCCAATGCCATGTTAGGGACTCGCTAAAGCGCTGCAACTGCTGCGAAGGTTTCACTGTCTTTTCGTCGGAGTCTATGATGGCAGTGAATATGAGGTCCTGCAGGAACCTGCGACGCATATCATTAGGCCAGACAATGCGCGAAAAGACTCCTAGGTCTTCATCCGTGCTTTCAATGTATAATCGAAAAAATGTGCGTCTCTCGATGGCTCGCTGCCACGGCCGTGACAACGTGGCGAAGGGTGCGAGGCCAATGGGTGGGAGGAGAGAAGCAATAATTATGATGATTTCCTCTGGAAGTCTCTCCATTGTGCTCTATAATATTGGAGGAGATCAAAAGTTTTGATAGAAAAGGTGATGTTTTGTAAGAGTTAGTAGATATGTAGGTTAGTAAGTATTGAGGTCTAACTATCAGATCTTACCTATTTATATACACCTTACAGACAACTCGCGCCTCCCTTTAGAATCTATATTTATAATATAAACAGCAACGACTTCAGACGGCAACTACCTACGATAGGGTCGCAGTTGGAACCAATAAACCCTACGTAAGGTACCTAGGTACCTAAAATAGAAAATCGGCCAATAAGAGGTAGGTACCCATCAATAGGTATGTACATATTCAACATGAATTACTTTAGGTAGGTAGAAGGCACCTATGACACGGTAGCACTATATCAATGTTAGCGCCTATAAAAGAAGGACTCTTTTACGTTATTCAATTAATACGTACTTAAGCTTTAAGTTGTAGAATTCAATAGGCGAGAATGTCATATCTATCCTCTCCGAACTTATGGCTTCGATAATAATTTCCTATCCCCTCATACCTTAAATACAAGCCCCTCCTCTGAAGAGACCTCACCCTTAGCAAACCTATCCCACGCATCCTTAACCGACTCCATACCTTCGCCCCAAACGAGCTTCACACCTGGAATGCCCTCATTCCGGAGGCTCTCCCACGCCGCGTCCGCACGCGCGTAGTACTCTTTCTCGCCGAACTTAGCGATGGCCTGGTTTTGCTGAGTATCGGCCATGACCTGCGAGATGTCGAGGCCGGCCGGGGGCTTGCCATCGGGCGCTACTGCGGCTGACGGTTCCGAGACCTCAGCGCCTACGATGATGAACTGCACCCGCGGGTACGCCGACACTAGGGCTGCTGCCCACTTCCATTGAACGTGGTTGCGTCCACCGAAGTCTACGATCACGATCTTGCTGTCCTTAGAGATGCCTAGTCGCGAGGCCACCTCGAGAGGATCCGCGCTCGTCGCCTCTACTGCATCGTATAGACCTGTGCTCTTGACGAACGCCTGCGAGTACTCGCTTGCGGCGCCCACGATGCGTGCCGGCTTCGACGCCGTACGGTTTGTCCGTAGGGCGCGGGCGAATGCTAAACCGACCTTGGAGCCGGGCGCGAAGTTAATGACAGTAGCGTCTGTTAGATCGGCCTGCTCCGGGGTTAGGTTGACAGACTGCTTAGGGTCCTGAGAGAACATGAACTCGGCCATGAGGAACGCTGTTAGGTGCATGACGCGGAACAAGGCATCGTAGGCGATGGCGTCGGTCTTGGCCTGGATCTCCTTAGATGTAGACTCCGGGAAGACGAAGTAGTGGTTGTACAAGTTCAGGTGCTTTTTCCGGTAAGGCTCCGTGACGAAGAACTGGCCAGGGGCGCCGGTCTCCCTGACTTGGAAGTCTAGGGGCAGGGTACCTATAGGGAGGTATCCCCAGACGTAGCTCCCCTTGGGAACGCTGGGAAATGTAGAGTCGACGACCTTGGCGTAGCCCCAGGCGCTGATACGGCCGTACACGGAATCATCGTTGTATGGTGCCGGGGCCGTGGGCGGGATTCGGTGGATACCCCACCAATCGGCCATATCAGCCAATTTACAGTAGGTAAAGTTGTTAGAGGTTAGAGAAATGACCTCCGTCCGAATCCGTAGGGATGACTCCCCTAGAGGGGGTAAGGGGTCCGGAATAGGCACCAAGGCCTGTTTGAAGTAATCCTTCTTGTTGAGGATTTGGATAATAGGAACTTCGGCCATCTTGAAGTGCTTCTGGGGTTTATTTTTGGAGGCTGAAAAGGGGAAAGAGGACAGCGAGAATTGCTTGGCAGTCTACTGCCCCCATTGAACCTCGAGGTTGTTTATATAAACGAATAAGCGAGAGACTAGCTGGCGGTTCAACGTATTAACCCGTCACCGTCGCATTCGCTTTGCATTAGAGAAGGTTGCAGCTGGAGCCCGCCGAGCCGTCTGACCCTCTTCCCGGGAACCCAATAAGAACTATTATGGAGACACTAGGATTGGTTTTGGATGTTTTATCTGCAGGGTGGTTTGCAAATAGGAACGATCTGTGGTTGTCAGGATATCACATTATAAACTCCATCCAGGTTATTGGGATGACAATTAGTAACATACACCACCTCCGCTCCCGCCGCGTCTTGATATTTAACCCGTAAGTAACTCACTGTTAAATTCTTCGAAATATCCTTATATTTCCCACAATCTTTTACGCAGTCCGTCAGATACTTAATGTATAAGATTTAACTACGGGTTAAGTATGAAGGACGTGGAGAAGGTTACTAGACAAGTTGCCGGGATAACGAATAGTAGCGTACTCCACGCCTTTACCGAGTAATCCTTAGGTAAATTTCTAACGAAAAGTACGTGATAGCTAGCTCTGGCAGTGGCTTTAAAAGGCTTGCAGAAAGAAGCTACGAACCTCGGCTATTCCTAACCGGTATAGCTATGTAACCATACAATTTCTGACTAAGGCGGGATATAACACCGATTCGAGGTCTGTACGCTATTTACGGTCGTATAGAGGTCGTATAGAAGACGGCCGAGCGGGCCCGTAGGTGCATAGATTATGTAGCATAAGGATGTTGTGATGCCACTCTGCGATGTAGGAGGAATCACTTTACTTAACGCGGGGTTTCTATCACAAGTTTATTTCTTATATTTTTCCCTTTTCTGTTGAGATGGTGGGGTGTTACTGTGTACGTGAGTTGTTATGACTCGACCTCAACTTTCTGTCTATAGTTATACTTGATCTATAAGTCCACCTGCGAAAATATTGGATATATAAATCTTGAAGATACAACACATAGCCAAGGCGCCATCGTCCGGCTTAAGGCAAACTTTGCTCCACTAAGCTCTATCCCGGAATGGCGACAAGTTCCCGCAAATCGCGATATAAATCGGACAGCGGAGAGACTAAAAGTTGATATGCAGATGCGATGCCTGTATTTGCATATAAGAGCTCGGGGATGATAAACTAATAAACGAACCTCGGCCCTGTCATACTCACACACTGAGCAACGAGTAATGGGCCAAAAGTGATATGTTAAGAGTGAGATTTTTCAACCTTTTTTCATCTCATTTGCAAGTCACCGTTCTTATTCTAAGGTTGCTAGGTACCTATGTACTAAGGCGAGGTACATTAGACCGATAGCTCTTATAACTACCTAAGCAAACCTTAAACCTGCGATTTCAAAGCTATGTCGTCATCGATCTACGGAGCTCCACATGAGCTTCTCGTCGTACCTTACCTTACTTTACCTTACCTTACCTTCCCATAGTTATACCTAAAGTAAGGTAAGAGCTCTCTTGCTAGTGTATAGCTACGAGATCTACTGTCGATAATTAGGTAATTCCCACGTATGACATATCAACATATTAATGTGTGATGGAAATACATACCTTCTGGTATTCAGATTAGATATTATAGGTATACTCAGATCTATGTTATGTACTACCTTACTACACTAAAAACGCCTCTTTAATCTCTCCCTCGCCAAATCGAGCTGGAATCCGCATGACGCGCGGTGGTTGCACAACATGAAAGTCTTCGGACGTCCACAGCTCGTAGTATTTTTTATTTACCAGCTCATTTATTCATCTATCTATCTATCTATTTATCTAGTTAATACATCATTATTAATGACAATCCAATCATCACCTCTTATATAAAGTCAAAATCTTCGTGATATACCTTACTAGTAACCATGGCCGACACTAACCCCGACTCCAAGCCCTGGCACAAGAAAGTCGACCTAATCCAGCGCGGCGACCGCTCCCCCACCCCCTGGGGCACCTTGACATTCATCGGCCTACGCCTGCTAGATCTTCCTCTCCAACATGCTCTTCTCGCGCCCGCCGGTCTCGGCAGCGCCCTGCTAGCCCGCGCCGGCATCACCAGCGCCGCAGCCGCATCCCCGGCCGTCCTGCACACCGGAATCCCATTCATCGACGCCTTGGGCCGTCCGACCAGCGCTCTGCTCTTCGTCTTCGCATGCGGCTCCGCCGCCAAGCAGATCTACTGGCAAACGGTGCTCTCATACGAGTCGTTCCCAGCGGGCGCGGCAGCAGCCGTCGCGCTGTACAACACCGTGATGAACAGCACCAACGGCGTCCTATCGCTCGCATCATCCACCTCGTCTCTGTTTTCGCAGCCGCAAATCACCATCGCGCTCCCTTTCCTATCGTCCTCCCCCGTCGACATCCCCCTCAGCACGCTCCTCGGCCTATGTATGTACGTCTTCGGCCTGTCCCTCGAAACCGTCTCCGAGGCGCAACGCAAGGCCTTCAAGGACGCCCCCGAGAACAAGGGCAAGGTGTGCAAGGTCGGCGTGTGGCGCTGGGCCCGCCACGTCAATTACCTCGGCTACTCCCTCTGGCGCGGCGGGTACACCATGGTGGCTACCGGCTGGATCGGCGGCCTCGTCATGACGGCCTGGCAGATGTGGGATCTGAGCTACCGTGCTGCGGGCGTGCTGGATGATTACTGCACCAACAAGTATAAGGAGCAGTGGGCTCAGTTCAAGCGTGAGGTGCCGTATAAGATCCTCCCGGGAATCTATTAGGATGACCAGGTGATAATTAGGTACCTAAGGACCTAATCGTATGCAAAAGTTGGCAATTGTAGTATATGTGTTTGCGAGAAGAGTCCGGACATGTAACACGAGATATTCATAGGATTAGATTAGTGCAACAGTAATTAGTGCTCTGGTATTGGGCATTTCTCTAACGTGGCGGAGTTCTCTCAATAGTGTCTCCTTGTAGCCTTCGCGCGCACCTGTAATCTAGTATACAAATAGGGGGGGCAGCGATGATACAGCCAACTGGAAAAAAAAAAGAAGATGCAATATTTGCCTCTGAGAAAATCCCAAGCGGCAAGCGAAGTGATCTTAATTAACTGTCTGCGTTTTCACGCGCGCAGACATGTCAGTGGTATAGACCATAGCCAACGACTCCTGGCAGGTGATTTAAAAAAGAAAAACTCCCCATGCTATATTGCAAGTTTCCGCCCAGAAACGCCTTTTTCTTTCGTAAACACAGCCTCCTGATACTAAAATCACTTTCTGGTTCTTCTCCTCTTTAGAACACTAGTTGTAGGCACGACCTTCTCTTCGGAAGGCTCACGAGCCTGGTCGCGAGCTCCATCACCCTAAAATGGACGCAAGTCCACCAAGTGTAAATTCTTTGTCCACCGAGGCAGCTTCTTGGTTTGCTCGTAGAATCGACCACAATTGGCACAGAGGGACTATACCAGCCGATCGTTAGTAAATATCCCCATGTAAAAGATCGGAATGTACCTAAACTTACCCTAGGACCCCAAGGTCCATCTCTGACTGCCCAGACGCTCGTGCCCCAGATACGGCAATGGGTACAACGCCAGTTAAGCCTCTCTTGGTCGGTGAGCGTTCCGCCCCCTCCTCCGCCGTATCCAACATCTGGCGTATTCCTACCACCTGGAGTACCAGATCGCCCGAGGGGACTTAAACTGCGGAATCTCCTCTTTTTCTTCGATCTCTCCCCGCGTCCCATCCTCTCCTCTTCGACTTCAAAGCCTAAGCCCAAGCCTGGTACGCCACCTATCATGCCGGCATTACTGCTAAATCTAGCAGTTTCCCGGCGAAGACGTCGGATCTGTCGTTCTCGGTCGACTTCTCGCTTCTCTATCTCTTCCTTCGACAGCACTTCGATCTTGGGCTCCCACTCGTCTGCGAGATGCTCAGGATCATACCTCCAGCCGGCATCCGCACCGTGAGCAGCGTCATTGGGAAATTCAGTCCCCATACCACCCCATCCCGCTACGAGACCGCCGGCTTCGCAAGCTTCCTTTTTAAGACGTAATACTGCCTCATATATTGCGTGCGTTAAAGCAGGAACCCATTCACCAGCGAGGCCCAGATCCGCACACGTGACTTTGGCAAACGCCTCTGCTGTGCCAGGAGGATGAAGTAACGACCACTCAAACCTATCCGTATAGAGTTGGGAAGAAAGATTTACGTTGAGGGAAACTATACATCGGTAGGTGTCGTCGGGGTTAAGCTCATCCGAGTCGGCGGGAATTGGTGTGGCACTGGCTGTTATATCGGGGACCTGCGAACGAGCACCCTTTGGAGTATCAAATCCGGTATCGAGACCATTTCGGAACGGAGTCTCAGGAGCACGTGTTGAATTATGGAGAGGAGTAGCTGGAGTTGCCGGGGTATCGCGGAAGCTCAACTGAGGAGCTAGTCCGGCGCCATTCGTAGGCGCCTTATCTTCCGAATGGAAGAGTGGATGAAGCGCAACACCTGCATACTCTTCTAGTTGGGTTCTGATCTGTCTGCTAATCTCAGCAGCAATAGCACCTTGGTTGGGAAGATCTAGATCTTGAACGAGGCTGAGCGCGAATTGATCTGTCGTCATGACAGTCTCGTGTAAATTCCATAAGAAAATATCCCTCAGTTTATAAGGAACTGTCATGTCGCCTGTCCTGTATAACGCAGGGTCCATCTGAGGAGGTGGCTGGTTAAGACCCCGAGGCAGAGGGTACGCCGCGGAGGGCATGAAGGCGGGAATATCGACGTCGATACGAATAGGAATAAGAGTAACGGGCATCGCAGCTTGGGCCTGATTATTTAGATCTGATCGATTCTTGGTCTTCAGCATCCAATCCCTCCAGATACCCTGAACTGTAACAGGGTTATTCGTTTCCTTCCCAAATTTATCGCTCGGATCTATCCGTGATGCGCTGTCTTCTCGTCTTAGACTGCGCAAGCCCGTAGGTCGCCGTCTCGAGTCATCGTCATCGTCATCATCGTAGTCATAACCATCTTCGGCATAATTAATTACCGTGGTGCCACGTTTTGTCGTTCGCGATACTGGGCCGGTTGGTGCGGTGGAATGAATTACGGGAGTGAGAAGAGAATTATTGTAAACGCGCAATCGGGGCGCGTAGGACGAGAGGAACGCCTGTGGAGTACTTCTAGGCTCCATGTTGTGTCGCAGTTTTCGCAGTTTAAAGTCTTTCTATGTCATCTCATGCTGATAGTACAAGTTGGAAAGAATAATTGAAATCTGGCAACGCGCCAAACAATATTTGGAACTAGAAAGTCAGACACTTGAGTTAAAACTTGATTAAATAGGAATGGGTAGTTATTAGTATTGTATGTTAGGTATGTATCGTACCCAGTGGAATGAAGTTTGAAGTTGAGGTGGATTAAAAAGATCAATATATGTTTATGGCTTGCATGAGCTTGCCGGGGGGCTGTTCGTCTTGTCGCAGCGCAACGCAACGCGTCTCGTCTCGTAAAATTTCCACAGCGAAATCGAGTTGACTGGTTAACTGATTGATCGCATGGGGAAAGACCCTAAGCTAGGGAAGGAATAGATCACGTGGGTCGCCGAAGTTTATCCCCGTAACATTGTATTGGGTCCGTGCGTTTAGCTACATACGTAATCCCGAAAATCTTAGGTAAGCTATAGTTACAAGTGGGAGTGAACCTATGCCTCTACAAGTACCATATCGAAGTGGTGAGATAAAATCTTAATTACAGCCCAGTTCAAAAAGGATATTCGAGTTAAACATTAGTTACTATGCAGACTCTCGTCCGAGTCGTGTTTATGACTTAAAAACTACTTGTACACGGTATCCTCCTCGTTCCTCCAATATTCATTATCCAACAACGCCCAGCTGTGGTCTTCAACGCTTGATTTTATAAAGCTTTATAGGTGCTTAATGGGCGTAGAGCGCTGTCAAGCTTGTCATGGTATATAAAGCAACAAAGCAAAAACATTCCTTCTTATGAGAACCCTATTACCATTAAGCCCGAGATTTAGCAAAACTCCCATGCGCCGGGTATGATCTAAATCGCAAATATTACGATATGGTGTTCCTCCAGAAAACACATCTCTATACCATAAGCAATGATGCTTCTTCACCGGGCGCTGGCTCGTATGCTTCGGCCTCTCTCATCGGTCCGCTTCGAATTTGTAAGTATCATCCAGTCATCCCACTCCTTACTTATCTCCATCAATACGGAGCCCATAACTGTGGCGCTAGCCATCAGTCCATGTCCTTCACCCTCGAGAACGCGGACTTCGCAACGCCGCATTGTCTTTCCAAGCCATTTAACATTTTCGACCGGGACACGTGTATCCCTGCTTCCATGATGAATGGTGACTGGGCGGGTAATGTCTACATAACGAAAGCCAATTGTATGCCTTCGTTCTAGACAGACAAGTAAGTCCACAGCAGGGTTGGCCCCTGTAGTAGCGAGTTCCCAAATCGCGTGAGTGAGCCGCATGTCGTATGTCATTTGTCTTTCTTTATCCGCAATAGCGTCGGTGGCCGCAGTAATAATAGGAGTTTGGGGATTAAATTCGCTGCCATTAGGACGATACCGATCCATATTTTCGCTGGCAGAGAGCGGGAGGGGTTTCCCGTCTGCAGCGTCCTGCACTAAATTCTCCTTATCCAAGCTGGGTGCTATGTCTCGGCGATTGTTTGAGTTGGCAGGGACAGTGGACTTCCGTTTTCCACGACGCGTGTTAGTTTTAGGTAGTGAGCTAGTAATAGAGCTGCTGGTAGCTGTCATAAAGGAGCTATTAGCTGCTTTAAGGAAAGGAGTTGGCAAAGCTCGGAGAATCCGTTGGGATGTAGGGATTGCATTAGTAGGAGGTAAGGCTTGAGATGTACCGAACACATTCATCTGCGACGGGGGGATCCAAGGGGCCAGAAGATGAATACGGCCGCGGATGTGCTGTGGCATGCGGAGCGCGGTAGCAAGAGCGTAAATAGCGCCAGCAGAATGCGCAAGGATAGAAAACTTGTTGATTTTGAGCGCCTGGCAGATCGCATAAACATCATCTATAATCTATTAATATTCGCGCAAGGTATGATATCAAATAAGAGCATAGACATACCAGGCCAACCGAGGGGTGTCGCCGTCCCGTCAGCATACGGCTCACTATCACCCACGCCAGGCCGGTCGGGGGTGATCAGACGTAACTTTAGTGTCAGCGCCAGCTCATCATAAAACGCCGTGATATATCTGGTTAAGCCCATGCCAACGCAGCAAAACACTGCTGAGCCTTCAGCATCGCCAACTTCAGAAAACGATATGACACGGCCAGTCTGCGGATGTCGGATCTTCTGCGACAGCCTCGGCGAGCATAAATAAGACTCGACAGCATCGTCAATGGAATCCGCGCTTTGAGGTCGCTCGTAGCCCACCATAGGCTCCGGAGTAGCCACCTCCTTTTTCCTCTCTAGCTCCGGGCTTTTAGGCCCTGCTACCGAAAGGCGCTTTAACCGTGAGCTGCTTCGTTTAGGTTTAATAACCTCGCCCAAATCCGGAGTCGTGCGCCCTGATGTTTTGCGATCACTTCCATGCGCACTACGTCTTCTGCTCTGAGCTACCGCCGGAAATGGAGCGCCATCCTCAAATCCGTTTGTATCAGTTGAATATGATCTCGAGCGCTGATGTGTATGATTGGCTTCCTGGGGCTTCTTAGCAGAATATGTGCTTGCTCTTGCAGAGTGTGGCATTTCGGGTGGTAGAGAATCGTCTCTTCTCCGAGCACCAGCCTCCGAGTTTGCTCGACTTATGTGTCGTCGTCTTGTATGGGATGGGTCGCGCGACATAGCGTGTTCAGATCCTTCCGGAATAGCGTCGCTGAAGCCGCCGTCGCCTTCTCTTTTCGACCGTGATGACCTATGTGAGGATCTTTTGGCGTTGGTTCCCGTCTTGCGCAAAGAAGAGTCGCGAGTTGGGATTGACATATGAACGTTGTTGGTATCGATAGATGGACTTAAATCGTACATGCTTTCTTTTGTTGGTGAATCGTTCGGTTCTTCGCGAATCGGGATTTCGGCAAGAATAGTGTCAGTCCTAGATGGTAATGCACCTAAACTGTTAGATGTACCAATAGACCCTATGCTTGCGCGCTTCCTTTCTGTCTCACTGGCACGTAATCGTTCTTTGGAGCTCATGTACATTAAACCCCTGTGGCTGCGGGATTGCTTCTTTCCCCAGCTGTCGTGCGATCGCTGTCTGCGCAATTCGGGTGTGGGCGGTAATCCACGTTCGATCGAAAGATTGCCTATGCTACGTGTATCATCGTATGACGAGACGGAACCTTTTGATGATGGTCTAGACGAGTTGCGCAAGAGTGACTTCAACCCTCCACCCGAAGACTCACGACGTGGCGACTTTGGGGCAGTCAATGGGGAGAAGCCAGATGGCGGTTTCGCTGTTCGAATGGTAGGGGAACTGGCAGCCAATTCGTTAAGGTCAAGATCCTCCTCTTGTAACCGACCAAGCTTAGAAGCAGGAAATGCACCGTATTCAACCCCGAAGCTACCGTCGCGTGGGGAGTTTGGCATAGACAGACTTTGCCCCTCGAAATGCTTATTCGCCGGCTTTGATATGACAGACAGGCTGGTAATTAGAGAGGAAATTACTTCGGGAGAGGCTGGCGGTACGCCGGCGCGATCTATGTCACCGTCACGAAGATGTAAGTGCATAGAAGGATCAATTGCCTTCCTCCGGGATTGGTGGCGACTCTGACGGGGAATAGGGGGTGGTTGTCCGGCAGCGGTTGACTTAGATGCGGCACCGTAATCCATAGCGGTTAGACGCAAGGAGAGGGAATAAACCACGGCGATCGAGGCTAGGGCTGAGAATGTTTTTGCCTAATTGCGACTGGTCTCACCTGTGTCTCTGATTGTAGCCGCGTGCAGAAGCGGTGTACAACTCCAACTTCTTCCAAGTCCAACACCCAACTGCAACTCGGTAGAGTATGCAGCAAATGTGGAGGTCAGAGAAGGGAAGGACGAACTGGACGAACTGGATGGGATGTGGCTGCGAGATGCAGGATGCTGGGTCAATACCGAGACAGATTCGCTGCAGGTCCCCAAGGTCCCAAGGTTCCAAGATCCCAGAATTGGAAAAAGGCGCTTAAATCGTACATAAGCTAGGTCCCGTATGTACAATACCTATGCCAATCGCAACCAGGGCACGACGGCTGGCCGTCTCGTAGTGTAGATCCGACTGCTACATACAAGGGGTATATAGGATAAATTGAGAAATGGAAGGTACTGATAGACTAAGTATCGAAAACAGAACTTTGGCTAAAAGTTTTTTGAAGAATAGATTACCGCGATTCACATTGATGGGAAAAAATGCTCGGAACCGGTAGCGTGTACTGTAATTTGCGGAAGCAAAACTTTGGTAGATTTTAGACTCAGGGGAAAATGGAAGTGGACATCTCGGCGATCGAATAATTAGGTCAACTTATTATCATTGGGTAAGGAAGGTAAGGAAGGTAAGGTAGGTCTAATTAGGTACTGAACTACACGAAAACAAGCCTCATGTGGTTGTAGTTTACTTTGATCGGAAAGTCTGTGTGCAAGTTCGGGTCCCTCTTGCAGCACCGAGCACAGGTAAGTACCCCAATATAGGAGGTACCTACCTCATAGTAATCTACCCCCCTGGCATCATGCATGTGCTTTGCGGTTTCTGCAGTCTGCAGGTGATACATACTTGTACATGTACCTATAAATGCTACATAACTGCATTCGGTATTCTGAGCGGGTGAATATTACAAAACCTAGTATATTCACTCTATAAGTTCCCAACTATTATATTCCAATCCTTTTCTCAATGTGATAATATGTTGTATCACAAAATGTATGCTGATAGGTCTTATTAGTCTGAACTTTACTTTCAGATCGACATTTTTCTTTGCCCCACAGGTCGAGCCCAGAAAAGTGACAAGATTAAAAAGCTGAGCCTAATTTAGATTAACGCGAGTCTTGAACTTCTCCAATCGTCGGAGTTAACATGCATGCCCCTGAAAAGTTAGTTAACCTAGCTGTCTCTTACTACCTACTTTATGTATCTACATCTAATACATTAAAAGGTTACATATCTGAACACATAAGATATATTGAAATATGCGACTCCGTTTCAGAATATGCGCGTCGAGTAGGTAATACCAAATTACCTAAGGTTACAACTACAACAGTCAACGTTTATTTGTACAGCATTTGGTAGTAAGCGGGAAGGGAAACACTACCTTAGGTAGGTAGGTATAAGAAAACGTATGATGTAAGGCAGCTTTTCGTATACGCACAGAGGTAAAATAACAACCCAATTCTACGAGAGGGTGGAACTTAGGTCTCGAAAGAATCTTAAAACGACAAGATCCGTTTATACGGAAACGTGGAGAGGTGTGGAGAGAGTATAAACTATTTCTCTACTTGCCGCTGCTTCGCTAAGTTTGACAACTTATTTTATTCGTATTAAATGAACTATCCGCAAGTGAGACAAGCCAAAGAGGAAGCTATGCAACCAAATCATTAACGAAAACCATCAGGTCACCTGCAGTTATAGTACAACGTACAAAGTCCTACAGGTGATATGTCAGTCCCGTATCGTGTATCAACAGGTTCATATCATAACGAAAACACCTCACGACGATCTTGTCAGGCAAAGAGACGAAAACAGATTTTTCGTGCTCAACATGATGAATCGCAACTTTTTTTTGTCTTGGATTTTATTTTCTGTGAAGGTCCGGAAATTATTTTTGTGGATGACCTGGCTGCCTGGTCTCGGAATTTCCCCCCTGGATTATGTCCTTGGTCTAGGAAAGCCCGCACAGAGCTTCTCAATTTCGGTGGGTTCATGCGCCGAGAATATTGACAAGCTGCAAACGCCACGTGAATGACAGAAAGTGATACGCATTCTTGCCAATACCGTAGGCTTGTCTGAGAGCTATGTATGTATGAATTCAACCTGGATCAATATCAGCCATCCTAAGCTATATTATCCCGCAGCAAGGGACTCCCATGAATCCGTGCTCGGAACGTAGCGATCTGGCGGAGATTCTTTCAACAGTTTATCTGGTTGTTTAATTGTTGAAAATTAAACTAAATTGAGTTAAAAGACTATATAGAAATATATATATAAGAATAAAATAAAATAAACTGATGAGCAGGATTGGTCTAGATAGTTAATCGTTACGTCGTTTCTTAAGGTTATATGCCATAGATCCATGTCGAAAATTGTGCTGTCACATCTTTTGTAAGATGATGATGTTGCAGTAGGCCAAGACTGATTTTGCAACGATTCGTCATCTGCAAGGAATAACTTTGAGACGGTAGTTATAGATCTTATGTGACAATTACACGTGGTGTTAAGCTCATCTTTTCTCGGCCATTTGGAAAAGATAGTAACCTAGCACTTTTAATATTATTAATGTTGCGCGCGACCCGAATTGTTAACAAACATTCCCGCAGGACCTAAACTATCGGGCTATCAGTGGAGTTTTCCCGTTCCTTGTACCTGGCCTAGACCTAGAACACCCTAGCAGCTTAGCAGCTTCAATCATAGCAGGCTTAACTAAGAAGATGCCCCGCAAATCGAAGCCGTTCCCACGGCTGCTGCAAGTATTTCTTGGCATCGAAGCCCAGCAGTTTGGGCTTCACATCGACCAAATAATTACGGCCCCGCCTAAGCTAACAGGGGATACAGAGAATTCATCAACGACGCGACCAATCAAGAAGTTAGATACCAAATGACAACACAACATACGTCATTGAGCTGTTCATCAGCAGGTGCGTATCAAATCAAGGACTCAAGGCAAAGGTGAGGCCTAAGACACGTAAGAATTTTATGATTTTTTTCGTATGATTGAGGTATCTTTGCTTCTAGATGAACAACGAAGTCCTAAGAAATTAAATCCTAAGGCATTATCAACTCACGTCTCTGAGTATACTTGTGTCGTTAAATAGCTAGACATACAGATACATACCTACTTCTATACCGATCACATATTTCTTCATCTAGTGCCTTTGTATACTCAAGAGGGACAAGCGGTAATACCAACAAAATGGATCTCCTACTATCTCTTCCGATAGTCTCATATTTCGGTGGGCCGATGCTGTCGTCGTGGTCGGGGTCACTAAATCTCCTATTTTTCTATATGACTTGGACGACACTCGTCCTATCTCATTCGCCTCTGAGAATCGAGTTAATCGGCACTTTAGCAGTACGAATAGTATTCTGGTTGGTGCCGTCGCTCTTTTTTCTGCTATTCGACACACTAGTTCCCAGCTTAGCGGAATCTATTAAATTCTATGGTTCTACATCATTACCTCGGCGAAGTGCTGCCTCCTTACTTCGACAGGTCCTGCTCGCTATCTTCAACCTTGGATTCAGCACCGCTGTACAAGCCGGTATATCCATAGGTGCTGGAACGTTATTGCGCCGTCCGCTCTTCAAGACTAGTACGGCACTACCACTTCCCTGGCAGATCGTGAAGCATATATTGATGCTGTATACCGCCCGCGAAATCCTGACGTATTACCTCCACCGATTTGTGCTACACTCTCGGGGGAGAGTGGCAAGGCTACATAGCGCATACGCGCATTCCCGCAAGCACGCTGCTCCGTATGCGCTGATGCTGTATACGGACCATCCGCTACCGCTTCTTTTTAATCGCACATTACCGGTATACTTATCAGCTATGGTCATCCAACCACATTTACTCACATATTTCTTATTTACTATCTTGACGACGTTGGAGGAGACGATGTCCATGTCTGGCTACAACATTGTGCCGGGTATTATCATGGGCGGCATCACACGACGTACTGCAACACATTATGCAAGCGGCGGGCGCGGTAACTTCGGCGCTTGGGGGCTGTTGGACTGGGTTGGCGGCACGAGCGTGGGTAAAGACGTAGTGAAGGATATTCATGATGAAGCAGAAAAACACCAAGTTAAGGAGCGCGGCCAGAAAGCTGCAAGCGATACAGGAAGTATGGTACAAGACGGTATCAACAGCTTGAAGAAGGGCCGCAAGAGCCGAAAGAAGAGCTCGGATTAGCGATAGAGACTTTTATTTATGGGAAAGGGGAAAGGGGAAAGGCAATAGACAACGACGCTATGGGCTACGATTTTTGAGGAGAAAAAATACTGGGAGATGGTTTGTTGGAGTTTGGCGTAAGAAGCGACTGGATTAGAGATGTATGCATACGCCTATGATTATATGAATATGAGACATGATATGTGATGAGAAATAAAAGGTCCATACAAGAATGACAACTCTTGATATGTATTTCATGAAGCTATCCACTATGTAGGTATGTTTCTTTGTCGTACTAAATATGAGTCTACCTAGGAATTAATATAGTATAAAGACCCTTATCCGTATACCCCACTCTAATCGATAAAGCTTCAGCTTTAAAAATGCCAGATGAGTGGCGTCATATTTCTAGCTTGCCTCCAAACAAACCCCTGTCATAGCGGGGCAATATACAACGATTATTCAGACTGATACTAACTTAAATACCAACCTTACCCTTCCTCGGGCTAAATTTAGTAGATTCTTGCGGGGGGACGAGAATCCGTTCGTTCGAGAACTCATCTTTTCTATAATAAATCCAATCTACCTACCACTTAGTATAATACGACCAAATCAGACACCATGTCAACAACAACCAACCCCGACCCATCTCCCGGCTCTTTAGCCTTCATCCCCCTCGAAGCGAACCCAGAGCTCATGACCTCCCTGCTTCACAAACTAGGCCTAAGCCAGGCCCTACAGATCCACGACGTATACTCTATCACGGAACCCGAACTACTCGCCTTCGTACCGCGACCAGCCCTCGCTCTACTCCTCGTCTTCCCCGTCTCGGCAACATACGAATCGCACCGGCTAGCCGAGGACGCCGGCGTCCAGGAATACACCGGCAGCGGCGACGACGAGCCCGTACTTTGGTACAAGCAGACGATCCGCAACGCGTGTGGGCTGATGGGTCTGCTACATGCCGTGTCAAACGGGCCCGCACGGGGCTTCATTGGTGAGTACCCTCCCTTCCTCCCCCCATCCCTCCTCCTCCTCTTCTTCTTCCTCCATACCAACCATCCATACTAACCATCCATACTAACCCCCCAAACCCAACCCCAGAACCCAACACCCCCCTCCACCGACTCCTAACGGCCTCCATCCCGCTCCCCCCAGCTCAGCGCTCCGCCCTCCTTGAGCACACTCCCGAACTCGCCGCCGCACACCAAGAAGCCGCGAGCCGGGGCGCGACCGCGGCGCCCGACGCCCAGGACGACGTCGACCTGCACTACGTGTGCTTCGTGAAGACGGAGGACGGCACGCTGTGGGAGCTCGACGGCCGCCGCAAGGGCCCTATTGCCCGCGGCAAGCTGGACGACGGCGAGGACGTGCTGTCTGACAAGGCGCTGCTGTGGGGGCCGCTGCAGTTCCTCGAGCGAGGGGGTGGCGATATGCGTTTTAGTTGCGTTGCGCTAGCTGGGTCGTTGGATTAAGGGTGGTGGTGGTGATGGATGGGGGGTGGTTGGTCTACGACTACCTACCTACCCACATACCTGGGTATGTTTTCTCCAAGGAGTTTTCTCGAGAGATAGACAAATGAGGATGATCTGTGTAAGTTAAGCCATAGTTGTATGGTGCTATATCATCGTCGTGTTTATCGTGAAAGCCAGGCTGCTTTTCACGAGCCATACAAATAAACGATAATACACTTAGAGTTCTAAGGGGGGAGATCTATAGGGCTATCTATTATAGAACGGTCAATATACCGCTCTAGTCCTGGCTTCGATAGAAGCAACACGAGCAATATGGATACTCTAATGAATGACACTACTTATAATCGACTTCAGCAATCTTTGTTACATTCTAGGATCAACTTGTAGCAATCTTCAGACTGATTGTTCAGTCTGTCAAAACCTCCTTGTTCCACACGCCATATCCTGCATATCAACAGCCCCCATGAACAATCTTAAAGCCATCCTAACCTAAGCTCCTACCAAGCCCATCTTTCAACTTTGAGAAGTATCAAAACACGATCTGTGTCTCATTAGCCGACAGACTTCTGCGAGGTGTGCTGGGAGGAATCGTTTCGGCGGTGCCGAACGGTTCGAAATTGAACAATGGGCATGGGGTGTGTGGAACTGGCAGGGGCGTCATAACTGGCGAGGCGTAGTGACAGCTACTATGGCCACAGCAAGAAGATTCGAGGCTGAGAGCCGGCAGCAGCGAGACGGGGACGCAAGCGTATAAGCCGTGTTCGTGATAGACCGCGTGTGAGCATAGTGGCGCGTTGAGGCAGGAAGAAGTGGTGGCGGTCCTCATGCGGCTCGGGCTGGAGTTGAATCTAGATAGGAATTTGGGTTAGCATAACTACGCTATTGGTACATTCTGTTCAAAAAGCGGATGTTATATGTATTATCTTACCCTCTTCTCGACCACGGCACCGTTGGTTTCTGGAAAAGGGGCGGGTCATCTAACTTAAGACCGAGTTTTTCGCACCACGGAGAGACGCAGCGACTCGTTGGAGTGCGAAAGGGTGAATAATCCCGAGGGGGAGATTGACTCGCAGCGATGTCAGGGGCAGACATTGGCTCGATGCTGCGGAAGATGTGACCTTGCATAATAGTCATAGGCCAGTCCCTATTACCGTCCAAGCCGTGGCCGGGAGGGCGCCCATCCTCGCAGCTAGCTTGTTGTTGCTGGCCAGGTATGTCTGATTCCTGACACGGGTTCTGACAGGGAGGGTTATTGGACGAGGACTTTCCGGCTGACGCGTTGCATTCTCCAGATGGCTTGTGGTCCATGTATTGGTGTATATGTCTGTCGATGTGCGCTGCAATGTGCTCGATCAACTCCTGCTCACTCAAGGAAATGTCTTGGCAACTCTGCTGCGCATCAGAAGTGTCATCTGTGGCTTTCAATCCGAGTAGTTTCTTGGCAGCTTCGGTCAGGTCGTTGAGAGATGGTAATCCCTCCCAACTTTCTAACAGCCCCTTCATGAAGTCATGTGTTCCCTGCTCCTCAGGATGCTCACATATTTGACATCCAGGATGAGGATGTGATTCGGTGGCGGTGGAGCCATGAGCTCCATGAGGTAGATCGGGAGGTGAAGTAGTCTCCTTCTCCTTCCCCTTACTTTTCTTCTTCTCCTTGTGGTGCCGTTCTTTCTCTTTATGGCGCCGTTCTCTGTGCTCCTTGTGCTCTTTTCTCTTTTCCACCTTGAGTCTTTTCTTTTCCTCCTTTTCTTCAGCCTTTCTTTGCTTTTCGATCTTCTTGGCTTCTGCCTTATCTCTTTTCGCCTTCTCCTTTTCCTCTTTAGGATTCTTTGGCTCAACTATGGTGAGGATCGGCGGAATTCGAGAAGGCCCTGAGTGAGGATTACTCTCTTCACAAAGAGGCTCCGCGCCGTTTTCTGACACTTCTTCGTGTGCCTGGGAACTGGGAGGGTTGACGATATTGTGGAAGATATTCAATGCCTGGTGCACTCCTTGAGTAATCCTCTCATGTAGGGTTCCTTCCGCAGCGTCTTCTTCTTGTTCTCCAGGCTGCTCATCTAATGAATCAAGATGTCAGTTGGTTTATGGTTTTATAAGACTTCGATGTAACCATCTAGCTTTAGGAGTCTCCAGAGCTTTTCCACAGGTATAGCAGTGATGATATTAGATGGCAACTGACCTTCAAAGTGCGCTTTCGAAGCTTTCCTGTGATTTTCCGGCTTAGGGAATGCATCCAGTGGCATTGGCTCAACCTCCTCTAGTAGTTGTTCAACCCGTGTATTTAATTGAGACTTAGGTGATAGCTTGGGACTGTGTGCAAGGTCATCTAACTCGGGCTCAGGAGGATCACCCTGCCAACTACAGACCTCATCGGGTGGGCGAGGTTGATGGGGCTCCTCTTTGTGTGCAAGATCATCTAGCTCTGGCTCGGGACTGTCACCTCGCCAGTTGCAGTCCTCAGCGGGGTCGGCCTTGTTTGCCTTGGATTTCTGTTTTCCTTCAGTCATCGTGTTTCCTTCTAGATCAGACTGAAGGGTGTCGATGTTATTTGGACCTCACGTAGCGTGCGCTCCGATTCCGAGATTGAATTCGACCCAGAAATGGGCAATTGAGTCATCCGCACTAGTGGTGTTACATTTAATTGTTCTGTATAGGTTATATTTGTCTAGGGGAATCTGAAGGCTATGAAGAGTTTGGGATAGTAGGTGAAGATGGCATTTCGGCATCCAAGACAACACTACCAACTTCGAGTGCTTAACCTTGGGGAGTTATGCATTTCCCTTTACTTCTGGGTATGAGTATTTATGAGGTAAGTTCTATGGGTTATGTTTATGGGCTACGAGTTCTTTTACTTCCAACATTTACGAGTAGTTGCAATCGGTTCTTAGGACTTGCCATATGTTATTTAGGAGACGGCCTGTTAAGGAGGAAAGAGTATAAACATAAAATCGTTACTCCAAAAATTTAAGATAAGGCTAGCCTAGGCATTTATTCCTCAGAACCGACCGTCTCGATTTCAATACATTATAGAAAAAAGGGCAAGTGAAGTATATTCTGATACTCTCGAGCCATATAACACTCAATGTTAGGTACCTATGACAGTTCTTTTGGCCTATTGGTTTAGATTTTCTTTAAAATTGATGTTTCTTACATTGATGGTATTTAGATTCTATGGTTATCGATATATCTGGTAGTTACTGTGGATAACTAGTAGTTTTAAAAACTTTGGAATATTTATAACATATGCCGCATTGTCCTCCCTTGGATCAGCATACATCACGCCTTTTTGGCTCCCTAGCCTCCTTATTCATGCATGTAGTTGAACTGTGACGACACCGTGCCCATTACGACATTGGGGCCGTAACCAAAGTTGAGCTCACGAACGTGTGACTGGATCGCTCTAAGTAAGTCCTCGAAATCCCGAAGGATGCCGGGAGACTAAGCACTCGTCGGTTGATTACCATAAACAGCACTTATGAACCAAATATATTAAACACCTGGCTTACTTGTGTGTATTACGCCCTTCCGAGGAGACATGCGATGTGTTTGTGAGAACTATACGAGGTATCCTTACACCTACCACTAGAGGAGAGAAAGACAGAGCAAGAACATTGATCCATTGGCTACCGTACAACTAAGACGCAAACGACTAGTGACTACCTAGGTATCCGAATAATATAAATTTGGTACCTAGGTAGTTTGATATGCAAGAGATCTCCCTCGTACTAGGAAACTCTGTTGCGGTACGGGCTTTTGCTGTGCTCATATCGTACGTTAAACCGCATACTTCTCGGGAACTTCCTAGGAATGAGTCGATAGTGTTCACGGCTACCGAGTGTTGCGACTATGTATAAAGTCGGATCCATAAAAGATAACCAATACTTGTTAAAGGCTCGGGTTGTATACGTGCTTCCCCGAGGCCAAGAGGAGTCTAATGTGACTACGCGCTAGAAGCCTACAACGTGCCGAACGTCGCAGTCCACGTGGAAGCTGGAATAGATATCCCTAGCTCGGAGTTATAGCAAACGGGCAGCTCTACGATCTCACCCGTTGATCCGATGGTAATCTGTTGTGTCTCATCTTTTAACTAAGTGGCGTTTCGGCGATTACTCGAAGTCGTCTGTTTGAAACCGAGACATTCCAAATTGACAGCGGCCATTAGGAACAGTCTCTTCGAATAAAGTAATTCAGGGATATGACATCTTAAGATATCTTAGACATTTCGATTTGGGGGCTTGTCTGGCCCTCCCATTGGCCCATAGATATTCGCTTAGATCTACTAGGTATTACTTTAGTAGTTACCATTGAGCGGATTTAGTCTTTAGCTATTCTCGCTAACGGTGACTAGTAAGTAAAGACCACAATCCATTGTTCTGTACTAGAGACTGTAGTACACCTCGGGTTCACCGAACCTACCTACCTAGGTACGGACTAGAACAGTATTGGTGATGGGGTATCTCTTGATGTTGTGCTATGATTATCTAGGTTTCTATCCATTATTGGCATGTGATTATTAGCTGAGATCAAGAAGTAAGGGTTTTATTTTATTTATTTTATATTTGTTTTATAAACCAAAAAATGGCAAGCTTATGAGCGATAAACGAACCGAGAGCACAGCTCGCTGAATATGTCTTATTAAACCACAGTGTAAAAGGATTTACATCCATGAAGCTGGGCGGTTCTTGCGGCAACGCGATATGCACCATGATGATATGATTAATTATCGGCAAACATATACGAAACCTAGAAAACCTACAAGTCTTTCGCCCATTTTTGATCATCGCACTAGCAAACGCTAAAAGTTGAATAGTGTTGGCGAATAAGAAAGAGACTAAGATTTCGGGTAGCTAGCCCGATAAAGCTAAGAGCGTGAGAGCTTACAAGGATGATGACGCGCTATAGATTCCCCCTTTCTCCGATTTTACATCCCAGCATTTTGGATCTTGAAATTTGATGTCATATCTACCACTCACCATACCTTATCGACTTGTAAGACATAAATTCATTTAGTGTTTGACATTTATATGTAAGTGATAATTTTCTCCAAGATAAATTCGACAGCTCGTAAAAAGAAAAAAAGAGGGGTAATAGGACTTGAAGGAATCAATAGAGTTTAAACGGAAACTAAAAGTCTTAAGATCTTCGTCGAGGATCGGCTATCTTTAATATACATCTACCGTAGGAATACCCTTGTCCCGGAGTAATAGCAAAATAGGATATATTTAAATCCTAATGATCCTAATGCAACATAAATTCGCAGCGTCATGTGTTCTGTTGTAGTATTAGTTCATCCATATATACGACTATTACTCAACTACCATTTTATATAAGAGATACTCTTTTTATATACAGACATAATAGATGTGGACTTTTTAAAGCATGTTGGATCAGGGAGGTCTCTTGTACGTAAGCACCCCACTGGTGCTTTGACTAGATCGTTGTTGGAACGGAATCGGGTCCTGTAATACAAGGAAGTACTTCCTAAATTGGGTTGGCTACGCGTATAGTATACATGTAGTTAGTATGCATAGATACTACCTCTTTTCGGCTATGAGAATGAATTAACAAGTACTTAGTTAGATATAGTTACATAGAGAATAAGTAATATGCTCTGTATTTGCAAACAACATATAAAGCATACCCGTGTGATAAACGGCTAGTTGCACCGGTTTATAGGATCGGGGTTATGCGTATATATCTGTCCTAAGATCCAATGGGGTCTCGAATGAATGATCGAAAGGGGCGTGTGGGGTTTTCTTCAAGGAGTAAAGTGGATCACCACGGACCATCGCGAAAAAAAAAGAAGGAAGTAATACAAACGCAAGGTACGACGTGTAAAATTATTTAGCTGCAGATTCTCAATGTTTCCCCCTCGTAAACATTTTTAGATAGTTACTACCTTAGCTTACCTTAATAAACGAAGTTTACTACTACAGTACATACCTACCTCCTACACATATGCACACACATACACATACACATACATACTCACACTCATTTATGAAATATAATGAACTAAAGTGTCGTCTCTATTCAGCCTTTAAACTTATCTGGGAGGTATCCTTGCATCACCCTGTTTAATGCGTCTCGAGTATCCTTTCCTTTCCGACTTTCTCTCATCTACCGCGTTAATTCTACAGTACAATTATTATAATTCTCTTCCACATACATCCCCTCCCCTCAGAGCATTTACTATTCTTTCCCTTTGTCCCCCGTGTTTCTTTCATCACTTTAGTTCATGTTATATGGTGGAAATAGCAGCTCCCTTCTGCTTGATCCCGATGGAGGCCCGCGTCTTTAAAAGATAACTAATTACGGAGATAAGAGAAGTAAGGAACGAATATTTACGTACATTTTATGGGCTTTAGTTACCTTTCATACGAATACCCGACTCGACCTTCAAAATGCGTTGGTTGAGTTTTCTATCTAGAAAATCTACCGGTAACTTGAACAATAATCTTAAGGCACAAGCTTACGATGAGACTGTGGCCGCCAATCCTCCAATCCGCGGTATGAGCCGAGTCTCCATCCCAGGAATTTGGTAAATCTCCGAGCTGACCTATCTCACTTAAGGCACCTATCCGGTTTATGGTAATGGACCCAGCATTTTGGAGAAATTCCAGATATCACATCCACACCTAAGAGATGGGCATTTCAATGATAATTCCGCACCGCCTCCTATAGTTCCTCGTCTGCTCGACCGTCCCAATACGGCCCCTACTCAGTCACCCGAAGGATTGTCCCGGCCAAAATCCCAAGTAGGAACTCCAGTAAAGTCGTTACGAGAACAACCTAAAAAGCGACACGGACCCTATAAACTTCCATCGAAGATACCTACCGAGAGAAATGAATCCATTTATAGCGTGCCATCCCCAACTTTCACTCGCGGCCGTAATTCTTCCATTTTTAGCGGTGATTCGGAATCAACACGTGGATTCGTCGACTTGCTAGAAGCTCATTCATTCATCAAGCCATCTGATTTTTACGGTCGCGTAAAAGCTACCGGCACTAAAGATTACGATGAAGACGTTGCGGATCGTAACATTAGCGAGAATGGCTCCAGCCTTAACTCTCCACAAGCCAAGGAGTTCTATAGAAAGAATCTAGCTCCAAGTATTCGGAGCGACGACGCGGATTTTGACCGGCCGCGTTCGTCTAGGAAAAGACAATCTGTGGGATATGGGTTGCAGACCAAGTCAACCAATTCTAACTTTCGGACCCCGTCACCTGCGATGTTGGCTTTGCGTGCATATCAAGATGACCCAATGAACGAAACAACACTAACCGAAAAGGCTCTTCGTCGAATGTCCTTGCATTCGCATGTCCCCTCTTCATCAGACCGACCGGGAAGTGCATCTACGGGGAGAAGAGTCAAGGCCCAAGATTCTGAATACTTTCCCGAGTCCCTACGAGAGTTGGCTCGCGCGGCGATTTGGGAAGATTTTGAATATGATCCATCTGTGGATCTAGGCCTAAGGGGCAATCCGACGCAATCAAGCCTATCTCAGGGAATATCTATTCATAGGCAGGATTCTGACAGTGATATGTCCTACCATGCGCGCAGCGATTTTAACCGGACCCGACTTACTCAAGTAGATCAATCTCGGTCTCTCAATAACTCTCCTCAGCGCAGAACCATGTCACACATATCTTCAACTAGCATTAAGCCATCATTGAAGACAGGGAGCCTAAGGACTCTCCATTTGCCCTATCGTGGTGAACTAATTACCGAGAGTAACTTACCAAGCACGGAAGAGGATCTATACAGAAAAAAGAATCGCGGTTCTCCGAAGCGCCGCCGCGGACCTATACCCGACTTCGACGGCTCATTGTATGAATTGACATCGTTGCAACCCCCAGAGCCGATTAGTTAGTTACCCAGCTTTGACTTTATGAACCATGTAACCTATTTGCTAACAAGTTGTCCACAGACCCGAAAACAATATTCAGTCGCTCTGGTAGTCAAGGAAATGGAAGTACTGTCTCGGGGTCTGTGAAGAGTCTCAAACGGTTGGAGACTGAAGACGTAATTCCGGGACGAGGCAGCAGTATTCGCCGTTGGTCACTAACTTCCGAGACGGGGGGCTCAACATTAAGCTCGAATCCGTTCAGGCCTCAATCTGGCCATACCACTAATACTTCAGTGGATCTCACCCCTCGCGTACCGTTATCTAAGGCTACTGAGTTAGATGAAGTATCTTTTCAACCTAATGAAAATCGTGCAGCAATGAGGAATTATATGGAACTTGATGCGCCGGAGCCCTCGCATCATAATGTCGACCCTCAATTATTGGCAGGATCTCTTCTCAACTCTAGTCGACGGGAACCTTCGATGAATTTCGATATCGATGAGGATACCTCATCGGTCGATTCCTTTGATGCTCCTAAGCGTTCTGCAGGTGAATTTGAGAAGGATCTTCTCTTTCAAGGCTACGGGATGGAAGGTTCTCAACTACCAGGACTTCCGGCCTCGTTTGACATAACGGCGAAGTCTAATAAGCCGAAACGATCCCAGCCACGACGAATATCCTCTACACCCAAGGATCCGCATCACCTAGCCACCTTCAGCTCTACAAAGTTTGAGGATGCACTTCCTTCTACTTTTGGTTCCCAATACTCGGCTCCGTCCCCGAAGCATAAGTCCAGATCTAGGTCATCTCGCTTACAGGTACCGAAGTTTGATTATACTGATTCTGAAGGCAATGATGATTTGGAACCTGGAAACGACTCTGAGGAAGACTTGAATTTCGATATTCCTTTCAAGCGGCCAAGTGATTACCGATACCATTCCTATGGTAACATACGGCAGTACGAAACTACTGCTCAACCGTTCGAGGATGATGACTTAGATTTCCCCGATATGACCGTAGTTGCACGGCTTCGAAGGGAGGCCAAGTCAAAACAGCGTGCAAGCAGCGCCTCACTGCGGAAGATCAAGGGAAAAGGGAAAGCACCCGATTTCTGCATTCCTAGGATCGAGTTTGACGATCGGTCTAGTTACGCGAATACCAAGTTATGAAACTGCGAGCACCTAAACTCAAGGTGTAACTATTTGCAATACCCCCTTTTCATCACCATGGAGGCCTCGAGGTAGCAGCATAACTTCCCCTCATTATGCATATGATTGTAATGATATTTATCATGATTTAGAACAGTTTGGCGCACGGCGATGAGTTGGCACTGATGCCCGGCGAGGCTCGCGCCTATTTTATACCCCGGTGCCGTAGGTAGGATAGGTTCTACCAATAATCGGCCCTAATAGGGAGTTGTGTTTACATGCTTGTCATAGCTAAAGTAGGATCTGATTGCAATACCTAGGTTAGGTTAAGTTAGGTAGTTATAGGAAACTCCTATTGACTAAAGACAATACATGATTCCTTGGTTTACAAGTGGAAGCTTACGTAGAAACTCGGATGAGTAAACTAAGATGCTGGTGGGAATACCTACAATAATGATAATAAACGGAATAACTTATACCTATAGAACGTAATAAACTATCATATTACGTTTATTCTAACTGGAGATTGAATGGTTGACTTGAATATATATACCTATATCGAGATGGTAGACCACAGCTATGTTCCAAGGATGAAACCTTCATGGAGCCAAACAATCTTGTCGAGAGACGAGCTTAGGAGTTGGAATCTGTCGGGTCTAGATATCTTAGGTATGCGTGGTCGTCGTCGAATATTCTACAAGATTCACTGCAAGGGTGCTCACTTCAAGATAATCCACAATGCTCTCAAAATGTGGACGCACAAGCCGCATTAACTCATCTGAAGTCATCGAATTTAGAGAAAAGCTACGACTCAAGCTTAATATACATGTACCCTGAGATAGCAAGCATACGAACTAGTAACCAGGCTCTAAAAACACCTCCGAAGAATACTACTTCCTCCTTCTCAAATAGCTGTAACTTCCGCGAGGGGATCCGAAGCCTCAACCTCCTCGGGCGAGCAGCAACATCCATACGTCTTCTTATACTGATCAACACTCATATCCCGTAGTATATTCATGATCTTCTTAGCTGCCACAATCTTGGCGTACCGGCCGCTAACCGCGACGGCGTGCTCTCGGACTTGACCGTGGATCATGACGCCGCAGAGTACCTGCGCCTGACCCAATGGACCATCCTCGACGGTGATTTCTTGGATCATGAGGCGCCAGTTGGCACAGTGGAAGTGCAGCTGCAGCATATTCGCTAGAAAGGTGACCGGATGTCGGTTAGCGAACGTATCGTAGATGTGCATATCCTCGAAGTAAGGCCGCATGTGCGTATCAAAGAACCGTTGCACCTGGCTATAGTCGTACTTGCTATCGACGAAGAGGGCACCGATGTATGCCTCCACGATATCGGGGAGTGACTTGGGCGGTCTCTGAACTTCAACCCAGAAATTCTTTGCGTATGAAGCACGTCCAAGATTGGCCGATTCAGCTTCTTCTTCCGCTGCTCGCTGAGCTTCTGTTATAGCGGCTACGTATTCCGTAATTTCTCTTTGTAACCCATTATACATGGATAGCATATGCGTCTGAAACCCTAGAGAGACACAAAGGCAGCCCAGAAATTGATTTGATACCATCGCCATCTTGTGCTCGGTCAGCCATTGGGGATCCGCATTTGGATACCGATGGAACAGAAAGTCGACACAGACCATGTCGAGTAGTGCATCCCCGAGAAACTCTAGTCGCTGATAATTTGGGATGCGCTCGTAAATGGTACCGTATGATGGGTGCATGAATGCGCTGCGTAGCAAACGGGGATATGTGAATCTATAGCCAAGCTTCTTTTCGATCTGCTTGGCTACTTCACGTTGAACTGCCGTGGCGTCGGCGCTTTGCCACTCCGGGATATTATATGCTGCATAATAGTCACCATATGTCATCATCTTATGGTTTTGGTGATTGACGAATTTAGTAACGGCCTGAATGGCCATGTCAAAGCTGTGCTGTTCATAGGTCGTCAGGTAAGCTGCCCCGATGAGCGCCTCACAAACATCAGCTATTGATTTGTCTCCGAGTATATGACTTTCTCTGAGACCCTTCTTTCCCTTGATGCTAGTGTTCTGCTTGCCTCTCAGTAGATCGAGGCCATCCGGATACCATGTCCGTCGGCTGAAGCCCTTCGATCGAATCGACTCTTGCAGCTCTAGGTCTAGCGCGTTGTTGAAGAGGTTCTTGTTACAAATTAGTAGCATACGATCGACATGGTACTGGAATTCGTCGCTATCGGGGATTTGAGAGAACAGGGCAATTGTTGTGCTCATCTTCAAGAATGCATCACCAAGAAATTCAAGACGCTCGTAATTCGTTCCCATGCCTCGCTGAATATTTATTTGTTCTTCCGAATGTTCTTCGGTGTTATCGCTGTCCTTAGTCATTGCCTCTAGGGCGAGGTCGGGACGTATGTCTAGGGATAGAGACTTGCAAGCTTCTATCACTATAAGACTGGTTTCGAGTCGATATATTATTGCAGGTAGATTGTAGGCCATGGCAACAACATCGACAGGTAACTAAGTTGGTTAGACTTCAAGAATATGAATGTAGGCGGCCGGGGGAACTTACAGGTGAGAATTTCAAAGTTTCAAAGACAAGAAAACATTTTCGTTCCACATCATAGGATTTGTCGAGTTCATCAAGAAGATTCCGTCGTAGTGGAATATACTCGGCCTCCACAACAGGTAGTTCATGCCGAACTGTCAATTTAGAACGCGCATTTGACCACAAGCTGATACTAAAATTCCAAATATCGTTCGGTGCTTCCCGGGTGGACTTCCTACCGGACTGGTTCTTGGAAATCCCCGTCGGCTCTAGATCAGTTGGCTTGAGATCGTGACGGCGGCAAACCGTATAGAATTTACGTGACCCATCGTGAGGGTCAACAACGAACTTGTCCTTGAAAAACTCGTCTGGTTTATTTTCCCATTCAACGGATCTCGCTGCGCTTTGGATCATAGAAAGACACCCCCAGTCAATTAAGACACGAACGTCATCAGATGCACTAGCGAAATTGAAGCTGTGAGGGTGTATAAGGGGCGTAAAGAAATAAGGCATTTTTTCCGGTTCCGAACGGTACTCTTTACTAAACACATCATCAAACACTTTAAGTGTGAACGTGTTGACTTGATCGATCTCCTCTTTCGTTGCCTTTAGGGCACATAAAAGAGGTATACATTCTACATCTGAGGTACACTGATGATCGAAAAATAGGGGAAATTTGGCTGTTCGTGGAAGTGGGTGCCTCGTGAGAATAGCTAGCGGTTTCGAAAATCTCGCCAGTGCTTCTGGAGAGGTTAGTTTTAGAACCGTCACGTATAAGCTCTCTGGGTGGCCTCGTTTATCCCATATTTCAGGCTTTATACGCATAGAATACTCAGATCGCTTCTTCGAGCTGATAGCCAACTGAGCATTACGCATAGCCGGGAGTTTCTTAGTAAAAGTAGATTGCAAATAGTCGTCAAGGTACTTCTTTTTCTTCAACTGTAGACACATCTCGAAAGCGGCAGAGCACTTGGCAACTTGCTTGGAATCTGCGCGTCGCCCAAGCGCACCTTTGATTGGAGAGGTGTCTGGTAGAAGAACTTCACATTCGAATTCTTGGCCAATGGCTCTTATTATATAATCCGGAGTATAGATGGTATCCAAAGGACGTGGTAGCGTTGAGACGAAGTTGGCTAGGATTACTAGACTGCTTCTATATGTCAACTTGGCTTGGGTTGAAGGCACAACGTAGACACGGTGGCTCCTCTCTTGAGATAGGAAATAGTCAATTTTATAATCGTTTCCAGTAATGAGCCGGTCTTCAGACAATGTATTGTAAAACTTGCGGAGTCTTGCTTCGCTATCTTCGTGTTCAAAGATAGACTGTAGCTGAGTAGAATTGGTGTATTCGACCATGTGGAAGAATTTGGAGTCCTTGCGCCGGGCTCTGCCCCTCGACTGAATGTACTGAATCATCGTCTTGCAAAGATTAAATCGAATGATAATATTGCAGTCAGGCATGTCAATACCTTCTTCGCCAACGCTGGTGGCAAATATGCAATTTAGATCGCCGTTTCTGAATTGGTGCATGGTCATAAACTGCTCCTTCAAAGTCATTCCCAAGTCGCCAGTGTCGCTACCCGCTCCTAACTTCAGCATTGTTAGTTAATTCGATCGTAGTGAACAGCGAGTAGACTTACTAGTACGCCGGCCTTGATCCCAGGCATGTTTAAGCTCGGTTGCTGCACAAGATTTGCCAACAACAATGCAGTAAGGCGTTGTTCTACGAATACGATACACTTATCTTTAAGTGGATCTAAATGCTCCAGGAGGGCTCCAATAAGGGCATCGACTTTGTCGGATAGGTAAAAGGGGTTCCGCTGAGGTTGGGGAAATGAATGATCAGCTACCATGTTATACGCGTCTCGAACAGCCAATCTCTCGGCGTCGAGAGCGGCTATAGGAAGGTGCGTTTTGTTAGACATGAAGTTCCTTTCTGTCTTCGCTTCTAGCTTATGAGCTTCCTGTTCGGTTAAGCATATTTTCCAAACCCGGTCTGCGCACCAGCGGCCCATCTCTGCAGTACAAGCTCTGGAATAGACGAATAACTTTCTTAGAGCATCGTTATTTCCAACCAACTTATATAACTTCTGCCAAAGTAGCGTTTCGAAGGGCTCTGGGGTCACACTGAACTCGATGAAATCTTCGGTAGGTCGGTTAATTGAAGACTTCGTAAAGACCGAGATATCCGCTACAGTCGCTATCTCGCTATGCAGAAGCCCCTCTAATTTCGCGGCAGCAGAAGTTGGATCTGTTTTTGCATCGACGGGCGATGCGGTCATACCTAGGATTCGGGGCTTCCGCTGCTGTTCTCGCTCTAATGGCACATAAAAGTCTTTGATGATCCTGGCATACGGATGGTTTTTCTTGGTATGATGGGCCTCATCAAATATTAAAAGGTTAATACCTTCCATCTTGATGAAGGAGTGATGAAGGCACGAGAGAAGTATCTCGGCCGTGCAAACTATAACCATACTTTCCTCGACCTTCTGCTTCCAGAAATCGTAGTTTAGAATGGAGCCCCCGTGGTCACCATGAAATCGCTGGACGGAACAGTCCAGGTTTGCCTTGAGAACTTCATATTGCTGAAGAACTAAGGCAACTTTATCGACCTGCGTACGTGTTAGTCCAGTATGGGAGAAAATCATTGTGGGATCAAGATACTAAAAATAAGGATATCCTTGGCGGCTTGCCAGCGCTTCTGTCTTCTAGTTCCTGCTCGACGGTATGACGAAGGAGGAGAGCGGCAATAAGCGTCTTTCCAGTTCCTAAGTCACTTTTCAGCAAGTATTTCAACAGTATAGGATATATTTATAGTGAGAAGAAAAGGCGTACCAGTATCTAGAACGGCGATTGTGTTTTTCTGCTTAGCCCTCTCAAATAATTCAGTTTGATATTCTCTCGGACTTGAGATGATCTTTTCACTCTCTGCCTCTCTCACAAGCAAATTAGTAGATTTATCTTCGTCCCTGATAACTGAGCTTGGTATAGAGCTGTAAATCTTTTCCTGGTGATCTCTCATGAACTGGGAAAATTGCAAACTGTCAAACACCTTAGTCGTCGCTTTGGGTTGAATAACTGATGGAGAAGGGTTATCATCTTCCGAGCCGGAGTCAGCCCCAGAGTCCGATGCAGACATGTTGCTATGAGAATTGAGTAAAGGAGCTTGAGGGTTTGGTATGTGTAGAATAATCTACATAATAATCTTTGTGTGTAGTAACTGGGGATGTTAAGGGCCTATGTAGTTGTGCTTGTGTACATAGGTAGTAAAGGAGAAAGACTACGGAAAATATTGCGACGAACCACAACTAACCACCTTCGACGTAAATCGTGACTTCCTCTATTATCTAGGTACCTATTTACCTCTTACGTAGTGCTAAGGAAGCAGCTCTAGCGAATGAAATAAAGAAGGTCAATACCTATGTATTTATCAACTCACCTAGGTATGTAAAGTGCAGGTGGCGTAATAACCCTGTTTGTACCTTCTGTAACATACGACAGGCTGTGTGATTGGAACAATACCTGTTGTACATATATCAAACATGATATCGTACCTTCCAAGCCTACGATTTGGGATTCGGCATGTACCTACCGTAATTGTTCTGGTAGACAATCTTACCTTAGTCACGATACTTACAAGCAATGGGTTTTTTCTCGCTTTTACTTGCTTATATGTACTTAATGATACAAATAGCCTAGTATTCGACGATTCGCGCTTTCATTGATTGTTGTTGATTTCTACTATGTTAAGGAGAAGGTATATGTAGATAGGTAGGTAGGTTTAGTCTGTTGATGTTGATGTGTGATGAGTTAATTGATGATACCTTTTAAGGATACACTTGATAAGAGAATACATTAATGTATTTAAACACGATAGACCCATGACTCCACCTTCAGTCTAAAATTAGCGCTCAAGCAGCTGCATGTGCCGAGTCGACTGATCGATAACCAGGTTACTACGAAATACATACATAGAACCCCTGCTTTGACGGAACTGACGTCTTGCTTTCACCATTTTACCAACACCTTGCCTGCATCTGATAAAGCTGTAAGTTGTTAAATATACCCATTAAATGATAAAGGGTCTTCACTTCTATGCCATTTATTGCCGCTAAATGCTTACATTTTTTTGCTAGGTACCTGGATAGTAAATTTGCATTTGTCACCAACTTCCACCTCATCTTTTATACTTCGTTGATGACCTAGTCGCAATGAGTGAGGACCCAAGGACCCTAAAGTCTGTGTACCAGGCTGCCGAACTGAAGCGGATAACTTTAGAAGGCACTTATGAAACAAACTCCCCCACCTACAGCCAAGATCTTGCCGAAGCCTTGAAATTATACCAGGAATGCATTCAGATTATTAACAAGGTCTCACTATTTAGTCCTAATGAAGGGCTTGAGGATCTTGCTACATCTGATCTCCCTTACCTATTGGTCAACTATCGCATAGCCGAACTCCTTCAGAAGGTCTCAACACAGTCGCCCTCGGAAAGAAAAGCTGTCTTGAACGCGACCCGGGAAGCGTATGAGAGGTTTCTACACCTTCTCGATAACTATTCGATATTATCCCCATCAGATAGTAAGCTGTTCACCGAATACAATGAAGATCCATCAGCCTTCTCTACCATATCTACCTCAGATCCAGCAGCTCGGCGTAATGCCAAAATTGCCAATTTCAAATCAGAGAAAGAGCTTAAGAGGAAGCTAGAGTATATGCGAAGCTCTCCAAGATATCTAGAGGACGGTGGAGACGAAGAAGCTGTTCGCGAACTGTATCTTACGAACGTCGCTTTCTGTACCCACATGGCATTTCAGGGCTTAGAGGGAATCAATCGAGAGGCAGAAATATTAGCGCAAGCACCAGCTCCTCCAATATCGCAAGGAGCAATAGTTGAAGATGACGAGCGGCGGCGCAGAGCATTGCATGATAACGATGGTTATTCGGACAGATTGGACCTTCCTTTGAGCACTCTATCCTCGAGTAATGGCCCGCTTCTCAGTAGAGAGGGAAAGCCTTTAAGGCCATTCACGCTCACGTCTAATCGGGCAGAGCTTCAGAGGGGCGTGTTTCGTCCGGGCCACAATCTTCCAACCATGACTATTGATGAGTACCTAGAAGAAGAACGAAGACAAGGGAATATCATTGAAGGTGGTGGAGAAGCTAGCTTTAATAGGCCCGAGCCGGATGAGGATAATATCGAGAAGGCAGATGCTGAGACTATGAAGGCTAGGGAATGGGATGAATTTACGGAGGCCAACCCTAAAGGGAGCGGAAACACCTTGAATAGGGGTTAGGTGGATATTAACGACAAAGTGAGGGTATAGTAGTGAAATATACATAACACTGTACTCAAACCTTCTAAGCTTAGGTAGATATTCTCGTTAGAGCTATCACAGTGAATCAGAATTTATGTCAAAAGCATAAAAAAAGGTACACAAGATACAAGAGTTCATTGAAAAAGGTTCAGTTAAGGATGGTGGGTACCATATGACGCGTATATGCATAAAATGCATTAAATGGGGAAGTATAAAGAAATATCGCTGTAAGCACTTTAAATTCGCGCTTAGACCAGCCTTGTTCGCGTTCAATTCCAAACCTCCCGAGGCTGAGCTTCATTCAACTATTTTTCAACATCCGGATCTTGAGTTCAAGCTTTCGTCATCCAGTCATTTCAGCAGCTATTTCTCGACGGTAATACGCCTGAATAGGTCGCCTGTGACAATGGCTTCCACCGAGCAAGACCCCCTCCTCCTGCTTCGCCAGTCCATCGCGTCTGGAGGCGCAATTCTACCGACCGCGTCCAGCGACGTCTCAGCGCAAGAGGTTCCCCTTTCGCAAGCGACACATCTTACCTTCTCTACCCCCTCCCACATATCCCTCCCTATCGATACTCAGACTCGATTCACCTCAAACGATACCCCTGTAGATCTGCGCAGTATCTACATTGCCTGGTTAAAGCGAGAAGTTGCAATTCCCGAGTACAATGCTTCTGTATCGAAGCTCAACGAGGAGCTCGGGGACAAGGGACAAGTCCGCATGCTTGCCTTTGTTGAACGGCTAGATCTCATCACATGGCTCGAGGGAGCTAGCGAAGAATGCGAGTACATCAAGCCGCTGGCCGGAGATAAGGATGGCTCAACTTCTACTGCAGCTGCAGCTCTTGCTTCCAAGGGTGCAGCAGCTCCTGCGATTGGTGCGAAGCTAGGAAGATCTGGAAAGGGTACATTGGATCCAAGACTTGCGGTTATCTATAACAGCGAGCGCAAGATGGGTGATCGAAACAGTGTGCTTAGAGGCATCAAGCCGACGGTATGATCTATTATCTTCACTCCAGTTAAATTGAAACTAATATTTTACAGGACTTCTCGCATGTTCGAAAGTTAGCTGCGCCCCTCATGTCCAAGAAGTCGCAACAAGCTCCACCTACTGCCATATCTAATAACCCAGCGCTGGCCTCACACAAGAAGCCCAGACGACCCGATCCTATTATCCTACTTTCGCCTTCCGCCTCATCTCTCCTCCGTATGACGAATGTCAAATCTTTCCTCGAGAACGGCCAATATGTTCCGCCTAACTCTCTGTCTGCTGCTAGTTCCACCACAGGCGCGAGTATGCTGCACATCAACCGCCTACTAAAGGATATCGAACCGAATCGACCTATGAGGTTTATCCTGGTCGAAGGCCCTGAACAGTTCAAGCCAGAATACTGGAATCGGGTGGTCGCAGTCTTCACGACTGGCCAGAGTTGGCAGTTCAAGAACTACAAGTGGAGCAACCCCAGCGAGTTATTCCGCCACATTCCCGGTATCTACGTCGGTTGGCGGAACGAAAAGCCCCCTGAGGCCGTACGTAACTGGGGCCACAGAGTAATGAGCGTCGGCATAGATCCTTGGAAGGAGTCGGTTCATAATACGATAGATTCGAGCCGGTGGAGAGACCATGAGATCGTTGAGCATATTTGGAAAGCTATTGAGGGGAACATGAGAAGCAAGGGTTGGAAACGAGACCAGGCTCCCACATCGATATGAGTACGAGTCCCCGCGTACCACATTGATAGATGTGTCTTGCCCCTTTATATCAAGCGACCAAGCGAGGCCAAAATAATGCTTCTTTAGCTATAGCCGGAGCTTAGGATGACCCTTAATACTCGCAATGTCCAGTCCAAGACATGACCTCATGAGTCGCATGCATCGGCATTGTATTTTGCCGGTCTTTGTATTATTAGACTCAAAAGGGATGGCATTGCTTCATACCCAGATGACCATGGAAAGGTCTCTTATAAATTGATGGCGTTAGGGACGAGAGTTGCACAGCAAAGCATATGGACAAAAGTTATTTTACTCGAGTATAGCGAGGTCTTGGTAGCGTGGAGCTGGAAAGACTTAATGAAGATGATTCCATGAGTGTATACAGTCCGTTACCCAATCATATATATATTGATTGAAGTTATGGAATATGGACAGCGTGTCCAACAGGCACTTCGCAAATGCTAAATGAGAATAATATTTTCAATCAATATGCGTCTAATGAACGTAGTCCGAGGCCAATAGTTTTTGGAGCGTGCTATTGATGTAGAATAAACTGTTCAGGCATCGTTAGAATCGTTGTTCACCCTACTTAAGCAGAATGGAACAAATACGATTCAGCATTGGCCGTACATTATCAAGGTTATGAGAAACGTATTGAACCATAACACTCAGACACCAAGGACAGGGCAAGGGCCTACAAGGAAGAATATGACACAAGACATACATCTAGGCGCAATATAACCAAGACACAGGTACCTGAGGGAATGTAGGTGTAAATTTATTGAACCCGCAACCCGTGTTAAGAATAGCTCGGGTGTACGTACACGCCTACACATAGAGATAAAAGGGAGAAAGTAAGAATAATAACAACGCCCCCTTTGCCAAGTCCAAATCCAATCCATCCATACCTAACTGACCTATCCCCATAGCTCCAATCTCTCTACTTTTTCAGAAAATAACCAACAGGAGAAAAGGAACCAATGATAAATGACAAATGAAATTTTGATCAGTCGATCGACAGGTAGATAGATAGACAAGATAGGAAAATAGATATTATATCTTTCTAACCATGATGAGTGTATGCTTTCTCGCACATACACAGCGAACACTAGGTCCATTCGTTTCGTTTCGTTTCGTTTCCTCAAGTTGCTTTTTCCTTTTAGACGTACCACAAGACGGTAGTTGGATGTCGGGGCCTATACGTGTACCGAACTAGCTAGCCCAGCTCCTACAAAGCAACAACGGCCAAGAACGCAGCAAACAGCGCCGCCGCGAAGCAGGAGTTGCTGCCAGCGCCAGAAACCGCGATGCCGGTCGGGACGCCGGACGGGGTGTACCCCGCGGTGCCGGCAGGCGGGTTGGGGGTGTTAGCGACGGGGGCAGCGCCGCTGGTACCGACGGCTGGGGCGGCGCCCGCGGGGGGAGAACCGCCTTGGGTGGGGGCACCAGGGGCTGGTGTGGTGCCGGCCGGAGCAGGAACGGCGGGAGTACCAGCCGCCGGTGCGCCTGGGTGGCCGGGATGAGCAGGGACGCCGGGAGTGTCGGGAGCAGGCGTCTCGGCAGGGTATGGCATACCGGTTGGGACCGCAGGGGCGACGGCGGTAGGCGTGACGCCAGGTGGGCAGAGAGACGAGGTGAGAGTGTGGACAGCCTTTTGGGATAAGAGTTAGAGAACGACATATACCCATAGAGGAATATATAAGGCATATCAAATATGCTACTTACCGTAGAGATAGTGCAAGGGCAGTCAGTAACAGTGACAGTCTCGCCCTTAGTAACAGTGTACTGGACGCCGTTGTAGCTCAGGGTCGTTGCCTCGGGACAGACCGTAGTGAACTGGGGCACTACGACCGTCGTGGGAACAGTAGTATTGTAGTACTGCCAGACGGAGGAGGGAGCCGTGCTGTTGACGGGATAAGCAGGGTAGCCCCCGGCGGTACCAGCAGCGGCGCCGGTGACGGCAACCAAGCTCAAGGCAGCGGCAGTCTTGTGGAACATTTTCGTTTCGTAGGTGCTGTTGCGGAAGTAAACGAGTTTAGGTATAGTTATTGGTGGTAGTAATAGTCTTTGACGAGAGAGAAGAGTAGTAAATCTCTTAAAACGAAGACTAAGAGCGAATTTCTGGCGCAACAGTTAACGAATGACGAGGAAACGAGCGAGTGTATGTGGATGATGTAAAAGAAATCGTTGGTAGAGGACGGGGGACGAAGCCATCTTTAAAGAACCTAGGGAGAAGGGGAACAAAGGGCGCTGACTTAGCTCGAGAGAATCTGCAATTAGACAGGCAATACTTGACAGCCACCAATAAGTTTGTTGCAGAACCAGAGACAAAAAACAAAAGCAAATATTATATTTCCTTCCCCCTCGCGTCTTGGAATGCATCCGACACCACGATCAACCTACTTTGGTCTCGAACTTCATACTATCCTCCCCTAGGCTCGGAATGAATTAATACGTATAATGATTCACGTTCCAATTGGTTTCACTGGCGAATATGAGTCTCCCCTGATTCAAATTTTGATTTCCATTTTTTGAGGACCGCAGCAGATAGCTTGCCAGCTTTAGTCTAGCCAATTGTATTGTATGTACAGAGTGCCAGCCAGCAGTTTGGCCGAAAATGCGCCCTCCACCGCTCAATCGCCGCTCATAGCTGCGGATTGCAAATGCTCCGGTGATGCAGGGTTACGAAAACCCAAGACCACTCTCTCTATATCCCTAGTAAACGCTGTGATCATTATAAACTCTAAAGCCGCGACGTAATAATTCCAAGCATCGTCGACTTCAGCTCACTTGCTCATTGACGCACCTCGAGCTTTCCGTTGTGTAGATGGATTGCCCATGGGAATCGTCTGGCAGTAGCCAGTCCATTTCTCGTACCAAAAACCTCCTTATATACTCTGGTGAATTTTCCTTCCCCTTTTGCGCTTCGCGGTTAAAATTCAGATGAGCCACTCGATAAGGTGCGGTTCAGAACGCCGATGGTGTCTATGCTAGTTTATCCTCAACGCCGCCCAAGTAAACAAAGAAAGTCTTAAACCGAGAAACATATGTCGGAGAGATTGCTATTAACGTCTTTGCGATCAAACGCCACTAATCAGTGACGTCGCTAAGGCAAGAAAAAGTGGATAGATGGTAGATGATTGGGGTCGAATATATGAGAGCACCGTTTTCGTCAAAACGGATTATGGCGTCTGCTCAACGTGGGGTGATTCGAAAATTGCCCGAATTATCGTCTTTTTTTCACTTGCGGTTGGATTGACTTCGGCTGCGTTCCGGCGCGCGACCTCCAACAACAATTGCATCAAAGTCGTAGTTCTTTAATGTATGTTCGTATTTCGCATTGCGTAAGAATTTGGGGACAGAGTCCTATAGATAAGTTAGCTATCGATGAAATATAGTTGCGCTCGACTAATACTTACACTGGCCATCAACTTGAAGACAGCATTCTGAGCATCTTCAAAAAGGGTATTAACCTCATGAAGAGTGTCAATCATTGTTACGTCTTGCCCTACTGCCTTAGTCATACGAGTAGCAAGATTATTCCGCAATTGATGATCGATATTTAACTCGCAGGGCGAGCCCGGTGCTAGAAACGCATTGTAAATACCGTACGCTTGAGCCATGATTTCCTTAATCCCATCCATAGACGTTGCGCTAGGGGTCTTCGTAGCCTGCTTGATCGCGCTACGGCAAGCCTTAACGAAGTCATCTACGTCCAAATAGAATGACAGGTTCTCTTCGCAGTGAGTCTCTCGCAGGTTTTCTCGAAACAATAATCGCAAAGCAGCATCGTTCAAGATCTTATCGAGACGTTGGGTATTCGAGTCTCTGGCAATACCTGTACGCGATGTCACCACCCCTTCGCTTTCGGATGTGCGCCCTCTTCCTGTACCACCGGTAACAATATCTCTTCCCTTGACGGTGAGTTGGTAGACGGCAGTCTTCGTAGGTTGGAATGAAACAGCTCCAGGTTGAGAAGCCATATAAACCCGGTCTTGCTGAACAGGTTCCATGAGGTCATATTGAACAAACAGGGTGCCCATTTCAAACGTCTCGCGGCGGTCAACCGTAGTACAGCAATCCATTAACCAATCCGAACATGATTTCCCGGTGAACGTATCTTTAAACGTCCTGCCATTAATTTTGCGTTCGCTAGCCATCTTCACACCAGTGAGACCATCTCGGTAATCGCTCAACGAGTCTGAATCGGCCGCACCAACACTTGACTTAATGTTTAAACCATTCGTACCTATCATCCTCCTAAAGATGACCTCCATCGTTCCCCTATCCATTACCAACTTATCGGTTTGGGTATCCCTTTCGAGAATACATAGATAGCTCATTCCCAAAGCAATGAGGTCGCTGATCTGTCTTTGCTGTATACCGTTCCTTGAACAGAAACGATCTAGAACGCATACGCCCTTCGGCGTCAGCTGCCATACAGAGCCCTTCATCGTATAGACTTGTTGCATTTTGCCGTCGGCTGATTCAATGAAGCGAGCATCAAGAAACCGTTGACATATCGACCTGGCCATATCCTTCGCCATGGAGAAGGTGGTCGTTGTAGTCGTCGTTACAATACGTGACGGATCCTTAGGATCGGGCATGCGGTTTGATTGAGAAAACTTCAATGAACCCAGATTATTTATCGCATCTTCAGACAAGAAGGTATGCTCAATGCGAGTTAACCGTACTCGGTGAGCAGATAATGGAAGCAAGCTGACGATTAGTGTTGAGAAAAGATCTTTGAAATCCTTAAAATATTATTAGTATAACAGTAGAAAGCAACTATTCATTGTATGATAAATTTAATGAGCAGACTCTACAAGCAATCCGAGATCGGCAATGTCTACTAATAGTATACTATGAATAGTCAACGGAACAAGTTTGACTTACTTTGGTAAACGGGCGGTCATCGTCCGTCATACGGAGCAGTCTCGAGGACGTTTGATGCATTTTGTTCTGCGTGCCAGACAATATAATTGGAGGAGGTCGAGTTGCGTCTGTCTCGGAATATGGCTTCGAGATGGGGTCTTTCAACGACAACTGACTTGACCGCTTAACCGGGCTCAGAAGAGACGGGGTAGAAGGACCAGACGAGTTGCCCGAGAAACTACGGATTCTTGACTTGTCCGAATTCGAATTCTCGCTACTCGGAGAGTCCAATACCACAGACAAGCGACTCAGAGTAGACGCAGACGATCGACTGCGAATGGTAGGCTCTGATATCTTGTCAATTGCTGCGGCAGCACGAGCAAACAACCCTCCAGGCTTAGGATTTTTTGTAACGCCGGGAATAGAGCCGGTCGATGCAGTAACTTGGTGATGACGAAAATTGTTCGAGGAAGTAATCGAATTGCTAGTACCAGTTTCAACAGGAGTATTCGAATGCACTCTTCTGATGGTGGCGGGGGAAAGATTCTGGTTTTCAGCAGGTACCGCAGCGTTACTATTCGAATTTGAGTGGGATCGTAGCTGGCGAGGCTCGTGGTCGTGTATAGGAAGCGATGTCGTTTGAGAGGTTTGGGAGATTGCAGCCATCAACCTATACTTACCATCGAGACGGGGGGAAGTAGACGAGTCCTTTTACGTTTGCATAAGCGGGCCAAATAATAGCATGAGGATGATATAACGGCTCGGATCCAAACAGAGGAAACTGAAATAAGGCAGAGGAGAGGAGAAGGAGGGAGTGGAGTTCAAGTTGAAGGCATAGAATGGGAACGATTGAGAAGCGGGACGGGGGTGGTAGAAGTGGTAGAGGGTAGAAAAGGTAGAAGGATACATGTAAGTATTAGTCTAAGTACCTAACCTATCAGAGGTCTATTATCAGCTCTCTAAATCAAACAAGTACATACCTTAGGTACATACATACCTGAGAGAGATGGACCTTCACATTTAGGAAGTCCCAGGCCCGTTAGGTACTTTAAACCTACTACCTACAAAATGTACTAACCATTTGCCTAACGGATGGGTGCACACGTTATGTACCCAGTTCAGATTAGGTGGGTAGGGCGACAGCGTTACATATGTACAGGGTGCAGGGAACTTACGAACGGCTTGCGATTAGTGGCGAGAGTTAAGTACCCGGTACAAAAATAGATTATAGCGCTACCTATGAAGCATGTATGTACATTAGGTACCTACTGAAAAATCGGGCAGTCATCAACGTTCTAGCGTTATAGCGCTCTAGCGCAGAGGGTCTACTATCCCCCTTGTAAGTCAGTGGTCCACTGTTATAGGAAGCCTGTCCTAGGCTGCTTAGATGCTGTAAGTACATGCTAGGCTAGGAGGTAAGTACCTATCCTAGGTACCCATAGCCCAGGCGGGAGCCACATGCGTGCCCCGCTATGTACGGCTGGCTTACTTACAGAACGGTACACGCGACGTACTACGGTACAGCGGCACAGCAACATCCTAGGCTCCCATGCTGCCATGCCGTGAAGGGCTACCCAAGTAAACTAATGGTATGTACGTTAGGCTCAACGATAGATTTCAACCCCTGACACCATCACCATGAACAATAGAGAATTTTCTCGGAATAGCAACGCGGTCCGTGTGTCAAATCTTAATAACTGCGAGTCTCCTAAAACGTGGTCAATTATTCTGGAAAACTTCCCGATCCCCTTTTAAGACTTTTTGGACGGCTCGTAGCATCTTCGCTTTTGGTCGACCTGCATTTGAAACCCGAACATGCCCGCTTTCGGATCTGGGTCTAATGAACCTAGTGAAGAATTTTGGGATGGAATCAATTGGTCATTTATGATGTGGATAATATATTTTAGTGCATCTACTAAGTGGGCTGCCACCTGCCATTCAAAGTTGTAAATCCCCGTCATTTGTGGCTTGCCTTGCTCGCCATGTGCGGTGGAGGAATAAGCACGTTCGTTGGAGAGGGGCCAATATATGCCCAGGTGCTGATTGGGGAGGGGGAAAAATACTTACAAGTAGGTACCATAGCAGCTGCATCCGCCATCCACCACCCATCACTCATCATCCAC